TGATCTTCCTTGAAGATGTCAGAAAATGCTCATCCCAGGGCCTTTGCACTTAATGTAAACCATGGCAGCCATCAAAGTGTGCCACTTGGATCTCTCTCTAGAAAGAACTTGACAATTTTGCAGCAAATAGTACACTTGTCTGGCAGCCTCTTGTTGTGGTCTTCCAGATCTGCCTTAACGATGGTGCTTGCTCTTTTTGAGAAGTTCCAGGCAATGACTGGGTACAGCAAGGGTTCTGGTCATTTCTGCCTAATGTGGGATTCCTCTCATGGGCAATCTTTGCTCCAGAATTCTCCACTGGGTCAGCCAACACTTTGTCAGACATGCATCACTGTCTGAGGCTCTTCCTGCTCACACACCAGATCTGAGGAACTAATCAGCATTTCTCTTAAAATGTGTTCCCTAGATTCTAGGAATTTTTTCCAGGAAAGCAGAGATTGACACTGTGGAGCACATATTTCTTGGCTAGTTTGATACATTTTTCAAGATAGTGTTTTCACTCTCTCAAAAGGTTGGATGCACAGTTGGAACAAAACAGCTTACAAGTGCAGTTCAGACATCAAGACACTCCCACATTGCTCAGGAAACTAACAAAAGTCTAGGGAAATGTGACATTTCAAATCTGGACTCTGCACTATCTACCTGTGTGATCTACGTATCCTCCCTTGTTAAATAGGGATAGTAATACGTACTTCTGCTGTTCAGACAATAAATAAGATAATGGAGGAGAAGGCGTGATTATCAACATTTGTGAAGATAACTATAAATCATCACCCTAATACTAATATCATATGTCATATATACAACACCAATACCATACCTAATACCAATATTCATTATGGACGGTGGTGGTTTAGTCACTTGTGTCCAACTCTTGCGACCCTATGGACTGTAGCCTGCCAGGCTCCTCTGTCCATGGTATTTCCCAGGCAAGATTACTGGAGTGGGTGACCATTTCCTTCTTTAGGGGATCTTCCCAATCCAGGGGTCGAACCGGGTCTCCTGAATTGCTGACACATTCTTTACCAACTGAGCCATCAGGGAAGCCCATTCATTGTGAAGGTAAGTATAAATGGCTTACAAATGGTCACGTTCTTTTCGGCTCAAACAGGAAGGAATTAAAATCTTTTTATGTTGAGAGGCGAGTATGATTCTTAGAATCTGGAAGAAATCGAACTTCCCCTCTTTTTGTGCATTTAATCAAGGGATTTGGTTCGCTTCTAGTCGCCGAGAGTGCACCAGAGAAGCCAGCAATTCCGGCTTCCTCTGCCATCTCATCCGCCCGGCTGGGTTTTTCATTGCGCCTGCGCAAGGACCGCCCCACCCCGGAACTTAACCGTTGACGAAATTGAAGTGTTTAAATCCTCCGGAACCTGATCCTGGAGCGCGGGTGGCGCCCTTCTTTCTCCACGGAGGTTTAGGATTGGTCGGCGTCGGACCGGTGCAGGGCGCTGATTGGCTGTTGCACCAGAGCGTCGCGGGGACAGGGAGTGTCAAGTCCGGCACCGCCCCTTCTCCCTGATGGGTTGGGCTTCCGACCAGTCAGCAGGCGTGGCGCGGGCTTCGGTTTCATGAGCTTTTATTTGCCGCCCTGGTTCCCGCGACCCCCAACGTCCCAGAGGCGGGGCGAGTTGGCAGAGATTCTCCTTGGACTCTGTTCCGGCCCAACAAACAAACCTCAACTCGGCGGAGATTGCGGTGAGTGTTTTTGTGCTTCAGTTCCCCCGAGGGGCCTCTGCGAGCCTGGGGGAAGGAGGGTGGGCAACACTCTGCTGCCTGTGTTGGGTTCAGCGGACCAGGAGCCTGGACGCAAAGGGACGCAAGGGAATCGGGACTTTGAATTCCTTGGGAATCAATTTGTACAGTACTTAGGTATGTGAACAAAGTTTTCAATCGATAACATGCTATCATATAAAGTTCTTACTGTAAAAATGACTGGACGGAAGCCCAGTATGCTCGGACAGCTACATAGTAATGAGTGATAGTTGCTCAGTCTTGCCTGACTTCGCAACCCCATGGACTGTAGCCTGCCAGGCTCCTCTGTCCATGGAATTCTCCAGGCAAGATTACTGGAGTGGGTTGCCATTTTCTTCTCCAGCTACATAGTAAGGGGATCGGTTAACGTTTAAAGTTCGTGGTCGGCTGGAAGTGATTTATAAATAACAAAGCGTGAAAATGCTGTGGGTGGGAACACAGTCGGTAGTAACACCACCGTGGTATCTAGGAGACGATTTCACAGAGGAGTTGATATTCGGATTGGATTGTGAAGGATGATGAGGGTTTACCAGGGCCTTCCGAATAAAAGGAACAATAGGTGTGTGTGGATACTACCAGTATCCACTGACTGTGATGTAGGAGTGAAGGGATGTGTGTAATTAATAGGGTGGGGCCAGGTTCTGAAAGTCCTTTATTCTGTACATAAGGAAGAGCCTGAGCTTCCCCGGTGGCTCAGACTGTAAAAAGTTTGCCTCCATGCAGGAGACCCGGTTCAACCCCAGGGTCAGGGAGGATCCCCTGGAGAAGGGAATGGCAACCCACTCCAGTGTTCTTGCCTGAAGAATTCTGTGGACAGAGGAGCCTGGCGGGCTAGTCCATGGGGGTCACAAAGAGTCGGATATGACTAAGCAATGGATGGACATTGAAAGAAGACATAAGGAAAGCTGAATGCTGAAGAACTGATGCTTTTAAATTGTGGTATTGGAGAAGACTTGAGAATCCCTTGGATTGCAGGGAGATCCAACCAGTCCATCCTAAAGGAAATCAGTTCTGAATACTCATTGGAAGAACTGATGTTGAAGCTGAAACTCCAGTACTTTGGCCACCTGATACGAAGAGCTGACTCATTTGAAAAGACTCTGATGCTGGGAAAGATTGAAGGCAGGAGGAGAAGGGGACGACAGAGGATGAGATGGTTGGATGGCATCACCGACTCAATGGACATGGGTTTGGGTGAACTCCAGGAGTTGGTGATGGACAAGGAGTCCTGGCGTGCTGCAGTTCACGGGGTCGCAAAGAGTCGGACACGACTGAGCGATTGAACTGAACTGAACTGAAAGAAGACCCATCAACTCTTTAAGCCAGAGAATAACTTGGTCAGATTTATATAGCAATAATTCCCTGGTGGCTCAGACAGTAAAGAATCTGCCTGCAGTACAGGAGACCCAGGTTTGATCCCTAGGTCAGGAGGATCATCTGGAGAAGGGAATGGCTACCCACTCCAGTGTTCTTGCCCAGAGAATTCTATGGACAGAGGAGCCTGGCTGGCTACAGTCCTTAGGGTCACAAAGAGTTGGACACGATTGAGCGACTAACGCTTTTCAACTCTTTTTGACTGAGCACAAAGGCAGCCCTTCTGGTAGCATTGTGGAGACTTTTCAGTAAATCTGGTGAGAGCTAATAAAGTCAGGAGCTGAGGTAGTGGAGGTATAAAGACAGTTTATATTGGGGAAGAGGGAGAAAGGAGAGATAAGGATGACTTGATGGTTTCCATTTGATCAAATTGTTTCCATTTGGTACACAACTATGCCATTATCCACGGAGAATATGTTTTGCTAGGTATAGGTGTTACATGATCTTACTTTCACTACACTAGCTTTAATTGCTTGTGTGTTACTGTCAATTAACTGTCTCCTATGGTTTTTTTTGAAATGAGAAATAATAGGTCAACATTTTTTATTTATCTTAATGCATAAAGGAAGAACAGACAAGTAAGGAGTTTTAAGACTCTTTTAATAAAGAAAAACGGCACTTTATGACTTCTGAGAGTTACAACTATCAATCTGAATATTGTTGTCCGTGACAACCAAGTAGCACAGAAGGACTTTAAAGTTTAAAACATGCATTCCATAGAAGCTGCATGAAGTCCAGATACTCTTAAGAGGGAGTTTTTATCAACCTTACAAGGGCACTTTAAATGGGATTTGGTTTTTGTAAATATTTCCAGCTTCTGACTTTAACTAAAAAATTTTTCTGAATGACTTCTCCACCAGAATGAATAACTCTGTCCTTCCTTACCTCGCTTTTAAACAATTCTTGTTAGAATTGAAGTAGAATACACAGGGCTTAAAGATTCTAAGATTTGATAAAAGAACATAGCAAATAATGAGCTGTAAGGAAAGGACTTTGAGGTCTGTATTTTGCTTTTATAATATTTAGATGTTTAGATATTGGATATGTTTAGATATCCAGTGGGTAGGACTTCCCAGTGGCTCAGTGGTAAAGAATCTGCCTGCAATGCAGGAGACCTAGGGTTCGATTCCTGGGTGGGGAAGATCCCCTGGAGAAAGAAATGGGGACCCACTCCAGTGTTCTTGCCTGGGAAATCTCATGGACAGAGGAGCCTTGTGGGCTAGAGTCTACAGGGTTGCAAAGAGTCAGACATGACTTAGTAACTAAACAGCAAGAAGAATCCAGTAGGCAATTAGTGGAGGAGATTACCCAGAGAATGTATGAGGAGTCAAGAAAAGACCACTGACTTGGCACTAATACAAGTTAGTTTGTGGGTATGCAGTATTTGTCTCCTATCTCCACAAGCTTGAAAATTTGTTGACTTTATTATAGACCAAATAAATATCTAGCCCAAATTGTTCCTATTTGCTGCTTTGTGGTTTTCTGACTATTATGAAGCTTTTGGTTAAAATCTCATGTATTAAATACTACCTGCCCTACCCAGCTCACTAAATTAATACCAGGATCTTGGAGCAGAATCTTAATAGATAGATAGTTGGTGAGTTTTGCTGCCTAGATTAAATATTAATATTAATTTACAGGCCAAATACTATAAAGTATGAAAGTGATCAGAATCCATAAGCACTTTATCTTATTCATCTATGGATGAAGACACTTCATATAAGTAACCTAATTTTGTCTGTTTTTTTGCTAATATGTGGTTAAATCATGTTTCCTTTTATTTTTTTGTTTTTGCCACTCATTAGTAATATTCTCTTTATTTCTTTAGGTTCCTGAGCATGTGAAATTGAATAAATCATTCACCAACTATCATGGAGTCTACATATACTCTTGCAGGGCCCCAGATGAATACCAGGTATAGAAATATTTTTACAGAATGTGTTTTTCACAGTTACTCACATAACTTGGGCTGGAAGAGAGGAGGAAAAAATAGTCTTTAGAATCAGGAAAAGCTGGGTCCATATCCCAGCTTTACCATTTATTAGGTGGGTGACCATGATCAAGTTATTTAACTTCTCTAAGCTTCAGTTTCCTCATCTGTAAATTGGGGACAGTAATCTCTATCAGAAGGTTATTGTGAAGAGTTAAATAAGACTACTAAACTAAAGGGTCTGGGACATTGTAGGCATTCAGTAAATGTTAGTCTCATTTCCTCCTTTCCTTATTTTAGTTTCACAGAGGGTCTTTGTATTGGTGAAAAATAGTGCCTGAACTTTTGAGGCCAAAGATCACATACATACTTATTTGTATCCTAGACAAATGGGAAAGTGGTTGAGTTCCTTCCCTCTTATAAACTCTAATTATTTGATGGCAAAAATTTCACACTGAATGTACCTAAGCCTTTTCCCACTCAATGTGGTGTGAGGAGGAGGAGCTTGCCACCTGTCTCCTAATTTTCTCAGTCTGTCACTACTTCGAGGAGCAGACAAAATGGCTTGAGTTATTTGGCTCTTCGGATCATTTATTGTTCTTTTTTCACCCTTGAGAAGAACAATTATTGCTGACATGTGAATTTTTTTTCTTCCAAACTAGAATTGCATCCATGAGTTACCTTTATTCTCTGTGTTATTTTTCTTTGTGCCAGATGTTCTTGATGAAGACAATGGGAAACATGACCCAAAGAGGCTATCATATTCCTTTTGTGTAATTTTGGCCCTTCTGTTCTCTCCTGTTGCTCCCTCTTATTCTTTGAAACTTTATCAGCCTTTGTTCTTCTCTTTAATTTTATTATTGGGTCAAATCCATTCCTTACATTCTAGGGAAAATAATATACTTGTGTGATTTGGAGATAATTCCTGGCATATGCAACTCTAGATTTTAGTTCATTTATTGAACTCTGGTTTTCAGTAATCTGTGGGCTTTTAGGGCAGCAGCTGAATTATTTTTGTTTACAAACCCTTTTGAATGTCTAATAGCCATGAATTTCATTCCCTAAGGAAAAGTACTTTTATACATACATGCAGAACTTTGCATCCAATTTCAAGGTGTTTTTATCTTTCTTGCCTCTCAAGTCTGTCTCCCTGTATACTTGAGATTATGGAAAAAATTAATAACAATCAGGTTCTGTGCTAATAAGCACTTTGCATATATTATTTTTATTTAATCCTCACAACAAACCCATGAGGAATGGGTCCTGTTATTATCCCCCTCTTTTTTTTTTTAATGAGGAAACTAGCATAGAGAGGTTAACCAACCCAAAGTTATACAGTTGGTAACTGGTATAGCCAGTATTTAAAGCTGAAATGATTTCTACTGTGCACTATAAGGAAGTAAACGTGAAGCAGTGCAGGTTGGACTTTAAACCTGCACTACTACTTACAACAAAAAGAAATAGCTAACATTGAGCACTTACTGTAAGCCCGGATTTTTTCCTGAGCATTTTATATATATTGACTCATTTAATAAGTATTTACTACTTATTAATACTGATATTATTTTGTTTAACAGGAGATACTGATATTGATATTATTTTGTTTAACAGTTGAAGATATTATTGGAGATATTGATATTATTTTGTTTAACAGCTGAAGAAACTCAGGCCCAGAGACATTGATTTGATCATGGTCATACAGCCAGAGCCAGGTTCCAAAATCTAAGACCTAAGCAGCTGATAGCCAGGCTTTGCTTTTAAACCTTAAATCATTCTTCCTCTCACCAATTGGTAAATAATAAATATATTGGATGTAGAGACATAGATAAATTGACAATTTGTCACTTAACTACCTTTGTGACTTTGAACAAATTTCTTAATTTCAGATTGTGTCTTTATTTCAAATAAAGAGAGATTAAAAATCCTTATAAAGATTTGAAAGCACATAGCTAAGAACGTGGTGGAGCCAGACTGAACCACGGTCTAAAGCATTACATCATTCAGCTTCTAGTAGTATAAGCTTTGAAATCAGCCACACTTAGATTCAAATTCCAGCTCTGCTTCTTAGTTGTTGTATCAAGTTGTAGAAGTTAGAGTTTGTTATCTATAAAATGAACAATAAAGTGTTTCAGAAACAGTTTTAGTGAGAAATACTGTACATGTAAAGTACCTCGTAGGATGCCTGGTACATAGCAGATGATCAGTCGACTGGGGCCAGTATTTTAGTTGGTAAGTTTTATCAGGTGATATAAGAAAGTAAGTCTAGAACAAGATATTCTTAGCGTGTGATATGATAAATATTTTTTCAATTCAACTATTTTAATAGTCTGAAGTGAAGTGAAGTGAAGCTGCTCAGTCGTGTCCGACTCTTTGCGACCCCATGGACTATAGCCCACCAGGCTTCTCCATCCATGGGATTTTCTGGGGAAGAGTACTGGAGTGGGTTGCCATTTCCTTCTCCAGGGGATCTTCCCGACCCAGGGATCGAACCTGGATCTCCTGCATTGCAGGCAGACGCTTTACCATCTGAGCCACCAGGGAATCCCATTTAATAGGGGATTTGTATCATCATACAAATGCACTTTTGTAGGTAACTCACTGTCAGAGCTTTCTTGCTTTAAGTACATGTGACTTTAGCTGATCTTTTCTCCTCATCCTCTTTCCATTATTTTCCTTATTGTAGTTTTCTCAAATTACTCACTTATATAAAATAAAAACTCTATGATGGTACCCTATATGATTTAACATTACTTTATGTTACTTGCATGATTTTTGTTGAGAAATTATTGATGTTTTTCTGATGTTTTGGTAATAAACTTATGTGTGGGACTTCCCTGGAAGTCCAGTGGTTGAGACTCCACTGCAGGAGGCACAGATTCAATCACTGGTCAGGGAACTAAGATCTCGCATGCCATGTGGTGCTGCAAAAAAAAAGACCTCATGTGACAGGGCCTAAGATACCAAGTTTGAAAACTCTGAAAAATTTTTGTGTTTTTCATAACTTTTTAAGTACTACCCTGAAATTAGTTCAGGAAGACAGATAGTAATTTAAAATTTAAATTCACGGTTTATATTCATTTTTTGTTACTTAAAGAAGATTTTTATAGAATTTATACTCAGTTCTTTTTTAAAAGGCTCATATGTATATAAATGTATATGTGAATAGGAAAAAAAAGATGTAACTTTTGATTGTTTATTCTCTTGATAGTAGAGTTACAAGAGATTTTTCTTTTACTTTTTAAAAATGTTTTTCAAATCTTCTAAAGTTACAAAGGTAATCAGAAAAGCCCTGTATTTAAACTGTTTCTTGTAAAATTTGTCTGTTTCTTATTGTGCTTTGGGTTTTTTTTTAAGGTTTTCCTCAAGCAGGATGGTGCCTTTCTATTTTCCTCCATCAAAATGTGCACTTTGGAACCCAGTGCCAATTGGAGATTTCATCTACTTACATCTCCGTTACTACAGGTATAAGATGCTTCTATTTTCAAATTAAACCAGTATAAACAGGACTCTAAAAAATATGTAAGGCAGTGGTTACTATGAATGATTATTTTTTAAACATTTCCATTTAGACTCCCCTGAGGCAAAATATTCTTTCTGCTTCTTCTTAAACCTGTTCTTATGGTTTTGAGAAGTAGTCCTAATTTCACAGTTAAAATATTCTATAAATCTAAGGTTCTAAGTATTATAGGAATTCAAGAGGCAAAATATAATAAAAAGGGAGTTTTTCTCATACTTCAGCATGGTGTTTGAATAACATTGAGAAAATTGAACTGATTTTGAGTGGATAGACCATTTAAAAGGAACATAAAATATTAGAGTTATGACCAGGATTGTGAAACAAAGACATAGAAGCTTAGGCTTCAAGTAATAGAAAATAGAGATCCATTGAGATATTGTATATAAGAGAGTTACTTGTTAAAAGCAGAGTTCTAAGAAGGATAGATCATAGTGTGGAGAGCTTAGAGTCAGCCCTGAGTGGGACATGGTTTTCTGTAGTCTAAGTGGTACAGATTTATATATAGTGGTTTCAGGTGTTAAACTAGAGCCAGACTTCCTGGAGGGTCAGATCCTGATTTTACCCTTTCTTATTTAAGTGACCTCAGTAAAGTAGCCAAGGATGAGTTTCCTTATCTATAAAATAGGGGCCTTCCCTGGTGGTTCAGTGGATAGGACTCTGCCTGCCAATGCAGGGGACAGGGTTTTGATCCCTGATCCGGGAAGACTCGATATGCTGTAGAACACCTAACCCTGTGTGCCACAACTACTAAACCCATGCTCTAGAGCCCGCAAGTCTGTGTGCTGCAACTATTGAGGCTGTGTGCTGCCACAACTGAAGCCTGCATGCCTAGAGCCTGTGTGACAAAGCGAAGCTGCCGCAGTGAGAAGCCCATGTACTGCCAAGAAGAGTGGTCTCTGCTCACCACAACTAGAGAAAGCCAGCACACAAAAAACAAAGACCAATGCAGCCAAAAATAAACTAAAATAAAATGGGAATATGACCCTTGTTTCATAGTACTCTTATAAGGATTAAATGAGACAGACTTTAAAGCAGCAGTTGGCACAATGCTTGGGCATAAGAGGTAGTCAATGTTAGTTATTATAAGGGTCTAGAGCAGTGTAGCAGCCTTGAGACCAAGAGGAAAGGATGCAACAAGGTGTTTTGAAGAAACATTTTATAGCATTTGGTGATCAACTGAATAGAGGAACTAAAGGAAATTACATGCCAAAAAGTTTTAAAGTTTTAAACTAGTTGGCAGAGAAGGGTGATATCATTGAATATGTAAGGCAATGATTACTATAAATAATTTTCTAAACAATATCTTGTGGAAGTTCAGTTAAATATTTGTTAGACCTGTTGATTCTTTTCTACATGTCTCTTTTTTTAAACTAATTAATTAATTTATTTTACTTTATAACATTGTATTGGTTTTGCCACACATTGACTTGAATCTGCCATGGGTGTACATGTGTTCCCCATCCTGAACCCGCCTCCCACCTCCCTCTCCATCCCAATGCACCAGCCCCAAGTATCCTGTATCATGCATCGAACCTGGACTGGAGATTTGTTTCACATATGATAATTTGCATGTTTCAATGCCATTCTCCCATATCATCCCGCCCTTGCCCTCTCCCACAGAGTCCAAAAGACTATTCAATACATCTGTGTCTTTTTTGCTGTCTCGCATACAGGGTTATCATTACCATCTTTTTAAATTCTATATGTATGCATTAGTATACTGTAATGGTGTTTTTCTTTCTGGCTTACTTCATTCTGTAAAATAGCCTGCAGTTTCATCCACCTCATTAGAACTGATTCAAATGTATTTTTTTAATGGCTGAGTGATATTCTATTGTGTATTATGTACCACAGCTTTCTTATCCATTCATCTGCTGATGGATATCTAGGTTGCTTCCATGTCCTGGCTATTATAAATAGTGCTGTGATGAACATTGGGGTACACATGTCTCTGTCAATTCTGGTTTCCTTAGTGTGTATGCCCAGCAATGGGATTGCTGGGTCATATGGCAGTTCTATTTCCAGTTTTTTTTTTTTCCATTTATTTTTATTAGTTGAAGGCTAACTACTTTACAATATTGTAGTGGTTTTTGTCATACATTGACATGAATCAGCCATGGATTTACATGTGTTCCCCATCCCGATCCCCCCTCCCACCTCCCTCCCCATCCCATCCCTCTGGGTCTTCCCAGTGCACCAGCCCTGAGCACTTGTCTCATGCATCCAACCTGGGATGGTGGTCTGTTTCACCCTTGATAGTATACTTGTTTCAATGCTGTTCTCTCTGAACACCCCACCCTCACCTTCTCCCACAGAGTCTAAAAGTCTGTTCTGTACATCTGTGTCTCTTTTTCTGTTTTGCATATAGGGTTATTGTTACTATCTTTTTAAATCCCATATATATGCGTTAGTATACTGTATTGGTCTTTATCTTTCTGGCTTACTTCACTCTGTATAATGGGCTTCAGTTTCATCCATCTCATTAGAACTGATTCAAATGAATTCTTTTTAATGGCTGAGTAATATTCCATGGTGTATATGTACCATAGCTTCCTTATCCATTTGTCTGCTGATGGGCATCTAGATTGCTTCCATGTCCTGGTTATTATAAACAGTGCTGTGATGAACACTGGGGTACACGTGTCTCTTTCAGATCTGGTTTCCTCGGTGTGTATGCCCAGGAGTGGGATTGCTGGGTCATATGACAGTTCTATTTCCAGCTTTTTAAGAAATCTCCACACTGTTCTCCATAGTGGCTGTACTAGTTTGCATTCCCACCAACAGTGTAAGAGGGTTCCCTTTTCTCCACACCCTCTCCAGCATTTATTGCTTGTAGACTTTTCAATAGCAGCCATCCTGACTGGCGTGTAATGGTACCTCGTTGTGGTTTTGATTTGCATTTCTCTGACAATGAGTGATGTTGAGCATCTTTTCATGTGTTTGTTAGCCATCTGTATGTCTTCTTTGGAGAAATGTCTGTTTAGTTCTTTGGCCCATTTTTTGATTGGGTCATTTATTTTTCTGGAATTGAGCTGCAGGAGTTGCTTGTATATTTTTGAGATTAATTCTTTGTCCATTGCTTCATTTGCTATTATTTTCTCCCATTCTGAAGGCTGTCTTTTCACCTTGCTTATAGTTTCCTTTGTTGTGCAGAAGCTTTTAATTTTAATTAGGTCCCATTTGTTTATTTTTGCTTTTATTTCCAATATTCTGGGAGGTGGGTCATAGAGGATCCTGCTGTGGTTTATGTTGGAGAGTGTTTTGCCTATGTTTTCCTCTAGGAGTTTTATAGTTTCTGGTCTTATGTTTAGATCTTTAATCCATTTTGAGTTTATTTTTGTGTATGGTGTTAGAAAATGTTCTAGTTTCATTCTTTTACAAGTGGTTGACCAGTTTTCCCAGCACCACTTGTTAAAGAGATTGTCTTTTCTCCATTGTATATTCTTGCCTCCTTTGTCAAAGATAAGGTGTCCATAGGTGCGTGGATTTTTGTCTGGGTTTTCTATTTTGTTCCATTGATCTATATTTCTGTCTTTGTGCCAGTACCACACTGTCTTGATGACTGTGGCTTTGTAGTAGAGCCTGAAGTCAGGCAGGTTGATTCCTCCAGTTCCATTCTTTCTCAAGATTGCTTTGGCTATTTGAAGTTTTTTGTATTTCCATACAAATTGTGAAATTATTTGTTCTAGTTCTCTGAAAAATACCGTTAGTAGCTTGAGAGGGATTGCATTGAATCTATAGATTGTTTTGGGTAGTATACTCATTTTCACAATATGATTCTTCCAATCCATGAACATGGTATATTTCTCCATCTGTTTGTGTCCTCTTTGATTTCTTTCACCAGTGTTTTAGAGTTTTCTATATATAGGTCTTCTGTTTCTTTAGGTAGATATATTCCTAAGTAGTTTATTCTTTTTGTTGCAATGGTGAATGGAATTGTTTCCTTAATTTCTGTTTTCTCATTGTTAGTGTATAGGAATGCAAGGGATTTCTGTGTGTTAATTTTATATCCTGCAACTTTACTATATTCATTGATTAGCTCTAGTAATTTTCTGGTGGAGTCTTTAGGGTTTTCTATGTAGAGGATCATGCCATCTGCCAACAGTGAGAGTTTTACTTCTTCTTTTCCTATCTGGATTCCTTTTATTTCTTTTTCTGCACTGATTGCTGTGGCCAAACTTCCTAAACTATATTGAATAGTAGTGGTGAGAGTGGGACCCTTGTCTTGTTCCTGACTTTAGGGGAAATGCTTTCAATTTTTCACCACTGGGCATAATATTTTCTGAGGGTTTGTCATATATAACTTTTATTATGTTGAGGTTCTACATGTCTCTTAACCTATGTTTTCTATTGCTATCTTTCTGTGCTACATTTTGAGTATTTCTTTTGTTCTTCAGCTCTCCTAATTTACTGTTTAGCTGTGCTACTTATTAGTTGCCATCTAACCTGTTCATTTGGGTTTTTAAATGTGGAAATATACTGTATATGTGAAATATAATTTATAATATATACACACAGTTTGTAGAATAATAAATTTGGTCTTTTTAATAGTATCTTGTTCCTTGTTCATATTTTGGAGTCCTTTTGATATTTAAGCACGTGAATTATACTCAGCAATGCTGATAACTGATGTTCATAGATAATATATAAACAAATGGATGTGACTATTTCAATCAGACTTTTTTACAAAAATAGAGTACAAAAATAAATACAAAATACAAAAATAAAAAAATTTTTATTTACAAAAATCATAGTTTCTTGATCTCTGCTCTGGTTCATAAAATTAAGCAAATGCCTCCAGAATAACTGTAACTTCAGTGTCTGCTTATTGCAATTTTGCTTTCCAGGCAGCCCTCCTTACACCCTGCCTTTGACCCTAGGATTTTCCAGCAGTGATCTTTCTGTACATTTTAAAAGATATATATTGTACTTTAGGCAGCATTTCATGACAGAAAGATTTTTTAGGCTATCAGATCCATCGCATTCATAAAAAACTTGTTATTTTTCAGAAATCCAAAGCTTGTGGTAACTGAAAAGACCATCCGACTTGCTTGTCGTCATGCTAAGCAGAATAAAAACAACTTGTCATGCTTTTTACTTGGTTCTTTCACAGTAGATGAAGGTAACATACTTTGAAAAATTATTTTTATGGCTGGAATAGACTTTGTGTTTACTGCTTCAGCCAATTACTGTAATATACTTTGACTTTGTTTTTTTTTTTGGCTGTATAGCAATGTTAGGAAGATGAGTTATAAAGTTGACACTGCTTATCATAGACTTTGCAGTCTGGTCAGGTTGATGAATATATATGTAAGTTATTTTTTTTAAGTGAGAGTTTACATATATATATGTATAGCTGAGTCCCTATGCTATTCACCTGAAACTATCACAACATTACTTGTTAATTGGCTATACCACAATACAAAATAAAAAGTTAAAAAAATTTTTTTTTAATTTAAAATGAGAGTTTAATGTATTCTTAGTATGAACAAAATGCTTTCCTATAATCTGGGCTTGCTTGATTGATTTCACATTTCATAATTAGCATTCTAAATAATAACTGTTGGGCTTCCCTATGGCTCTGGGGCTTACCCCAGTGGTAAAGAACCCGCCTGCCAATGCAGGAGACATGGGTTCAGTCCTTGGGTCAGGAAGATGCCCTGGAGGAGGAAATGGCAACCCACTCCAGTATTCTTGCCTGGGAAATCCCATGGACAGAGAGGATCCTAGCAGGCTACAGTTCATGGGGTCACAAAGAGTCAGGTGCGACTTAGTGACTGAGCATGCATGCACACATAAAAACTGCTGTTTTGTTCTACAGATGAAGAAAGTGTAACATTGACAATAGATCGTTTTGATCCTGGTCGAGAGGTACCTGAATTATTGGAAAGAGTCCCTACTGCTTCTCTTCCTGGGGACTTTGTAATCCCATGCAAAATTCATACTCAAGGACTTTGTTCAAGAGAAATAATAATTCACAATGCAGATGACTTTCATTCAGCTTTCAAGGTAAGATTTGTTGATAATGTGATTATTCCTATTTCAGCAAAGAATCAAAAATTATATGTACTGTTACATTTTAATAAACCCATATTCATAAAAATTTCTGACTGAATGATTGTTGACCTAAAATGCAATTAACTGTAGTTTCTGAGGATGGAAATTGTAGGTGGATAATATGGGTAACATTCTGGAAGAGGAAGCAACATGACCAAGATAGCAAAGTACAAAGGATAACATTGAGGGTGGAGATTTTTGCTGGATTTGTGGGCAGTCAGACTTCAGAACTAGCGTGTCTAGGACAGAGAGAACCTTGTCTGCCAGGCTAAGGAATTTTAACTTTGTCTAATGGGCTGTGTTTTTCACTGAAAATTTCTGAAAAGAGGAAATACTGTTAATCAAGGATGATTAATGTGATAGGGCAGGCTGAATGGAGTCAGAATAGTTAGGCCTTGCAGTAGTCAGGGATGCATTTGCCTATAGTAGAGTGGTGGCAGTGAGACCAGAAAGGACAGTGTACATGAGCAACTACCGAGGAAGAACTAACTTGACCATTTGGGATAATAAGAAAATAATCAGAGGAATGGACTTCTTTATATAGATGGAGTACAGAAAATCTTGTTGTACAGTATAGTAAATCTTACTTGATTTAACATAATTTTTCATGTAACTTTCTGGTCACATGGAAGAAATAAGAGAATTGAAACGTTGCAAATCAGAAAATTTTTTGTTAATGCAAGATATATGAAACAAAGCCTTTAAAGATGTGGACAGATTTCAGAATTTTAAAATAATTGTGTGATATTGATTCCTCAGGCTCTGCAGCATCATATGTGTAGCAAAGAGTCCTTGGACTGTGGAAAACTACTTGCCCTGAGAGCTCATATCACTTCCAGGGAGAGTTTGGACACTGTGGAGTTCGACTTGGATTGGACAGCAGTAACTCTAGCAAACACCTTTAAGTGCACACCTGTGAAACCCATCACCATCATTCCAACAGCTCTAGCAAGGAATTTGAGCAGTAATCCAAATATTTCTCAAGTTCAAGGTACCTATAAATATGGGTAAGTAAAAGACATAGTCATCCAAAATTTTAAATATTGGTCACATTAGCATATTTTCATGTTATCCACATAATATGAAATAATTGTTCAGTCGGTTTACATGCCTGATACGTGATGGCTAGAGAAATAACCAAGGAAGGTGATACATAAAGTGATTAATTTTTTAAAAAGAATACTTAATTTTATTTTACTTGTTTATTCGGCTGCGCCGGGTGGTAGTTGTAGCACATGGGATCTTTGATCTTTGTTGCAGCAGGCAGGATGTTTAGTTGAGGCATGCGAACTCTTAGTTGCAGTTTGTGGGATCTAGTTCCCTGCCAAGAGATCAAACTCCGGGCTCCCTGCATTGGAAGTTTAGAGTCTTAGCTTCTAGACCACCAGAGAAGTCCCTAAAATTGTTAATTTTTGCTGAATTGATTATTTTTCTGATAATGAGCCTAATGGAGGCTGGAGAATTATTTGTAATATGCAGTTTTACTTGTGGATAATGAGCACAGCAGATAAAGGAGATAATTAAATTAAAATGTTAAATACTCTTTCCTACTAAATTGTCAACCACTTGAGGGTGGTGTTTCCTCACATTGCTGCAGCAGCATCCTCTCTAGCCTCCTATCCACCACTCTTGATTTCTTAGGAAATTCATGCCAAATTGCTTGCTTTCTGGTCCTCAGCAGGGCTGCTTCCCTGAATCCTCATCCACTTTCTTTAACCATTGTCTGCTGACCTAGGTCAGACAATGTAAGCACCGACTGCTTTAAAGTCTAAGCAATTCCTTTCTGGCTTCCTTTCCCACTGACTCCACCCTAGTTCCTGTTAGGTCTCCAGAGCTGAAACTGTTCGGCAAGGTAAACTCAACTCCAAGTCTTGTCTACCAAAAATGCCTCTTCAAAAAAAGATAAGAAAAAGGTTATTCTTCTCCGAGTGTCCCTGAAATAGCAAGAAAATGCCTACATACTGATCAGAGCTCCTTTCTGGTTGTAGTGGCATAAAGGAAAAAATGTTCCAAAATGATGGAATGGTCAAAGGTCATAGTGATTTTTAAATGTTTGAACTAAATTGAACATTTAACTTATCTTGGAGTAATAAAGTGCTTCTCAGTGGGGACACGGAAATGTGTGCTAAAATTGACCAAAAAATTAGTTTATTTTCTTTAATATCTGTGTCCATCTAGTAGTGAAGCAGGAATTTATCAGGTTGTCAAGGCAGAAGAGCTCTCAAAGCAGGTATAAGTGTCATTTTACTAATGTAAAACTCTTGCCAACTCTGGCTTAATCATCATGGTTTGATAAATTCATCATCTTTGTGTTTTAGGGTTATTATAGCAATAAAATTTATCTTCTGTGGTATTGTCAAGACTTTACATCACAAATGGCATTGTTTTTACTTTTATGTTTTAAAGTTATAACAGTAAAGTTAACCCTTCACGATTGTACTGTAGTTATCATATTCTTAAAACTTATTGTCAGTAAATAAGTACAATAGCAAAGTATAAATGTAGTATAATGTCCTTTGAGGGGAAAGTGAGCTTTGGGGTTCTATCATGATTTGCAAAATTCTTTTATAGTGGTTGGAGGAATATAGTACAAGGAAGATTGAATACCCCTCACTAATTCAGTGTCCTTCATTGACAAGTCACATCTGTTGTAATCTTGTCAAGTCACCTGGATGCTTGATCATGTCCAGCAACAGGAAGTTCATTTCTCACAGGGAAACCTATTTGGTTCTGAAATTGTCAACCTTGATTTTAATACTTTTGATTTTTAAAAAGTTGACACTTTCAGAGCAAACTTTTTCAAATGATGTGTAATCTTCAATGATTGTTTTAATAGATAGAAAAGTTAAGATGTTAAATAACTGTTCTATTTTGTCCTTGGAATTGCTGGAGTCTGATTCTACACTTTGAACTCTTTTCTTTGTGTGCATGTAAGAAAAATTATTCATTTGAATCCTTTTCTCTGCCTAAAATATACTTCTTTAGCACTCAGATTATTCTCTTTTAGGTAAAGTACGTAGTTCCAATTGTCTATGTGAATGTCTCTTGTTTAGATATCTCACCATGGATGAGACACGCAAGCTATTACTTTTGCTGGAATCTGATCCCAAGGTCTGTTCTCTACCATTAGTGGGAATGTAAGTATTGCATTACTTATAAAAACCTTTTCAGCCATATATGTATTTAAATGTATATGATAAACACGTGAATCATTCGTACTATGATTATGTCGTTAATACTTGGATCAAGGGAAAGTAAGTCTACCCACTCCAGTATTCCGGTCTGGAGAATTCCATGGATAGTCCATGGTGTCGCAAAGAATCGGACACAACTGAGCAAGTTTCACTTTTACCTTATAAATTCATGAATACCAATGATGCTTAAGCTTTCTTATTTTAATAGCTGAACCAATAAAGCAAGATTTTTGTCCAATCTTAGGAAGAATTTTAATATATAAAACAAAGCTGAATTCTTCTGGTTGAAGCTGAAGCCTTAGAGCCCTGTTTCTTTAACCTTACTCACTATTCCATTCCTGAAGGCAATTTGAAGAATCCAGAACTCAGAATATAATACTGTTTAAAATTCACTGCCAGGCAGTTTTCCAGAAACCCTCAGTATTTATGACTATCTCTTTCAAGTTAGTGGTTAATGACATTTAGACAGATTATTCAGTCAGAAATTTATCTTAATTCAGTATCATTGAGTGCTTACCCTATACATAGTCTTGTGTTTCATACTGTGTTGGGATTTAAAGCTCCTCAAGGAATTTATAATTTACTATGAAATAAACAGTTTAGACTGAGCACTATTACTGTTTTTAAGAGAGATGATATGGAAAAGGCAAACTTGAGCTGGACCTTAATTGTGTGTGTCTAATAGAAGGAAGGATTGATGGGGTAAGGAACCCATGTGTGGGAATGGTATGTGCAGAGTTAAAAATAAGAGGGCACAAATGTTTTGTGGACTATGAAATCTACTTACTGTCTGTTTGCTCTGGTCTTGGTAGTGGCTGTGTGTTGTTCCTGCTGAGTGAGTATCTATTAAGAATTTTCTGTGTTTCAGGCTACCTTATATATTTATAGAATTCAATCCTTTCAATAACTATGGTTTTAAGCTGCTAACTTCATCCTCCCTTATTTCAGAATATTCTTTCTAGTGCAGGTTAATTGATTAATTCTTGTTTTCACCTCTGTTGTTAACCATTTTCTCTCTCACCATTTGACTACCATTTCAGGTGGAAAAGGACAGAAAGTAATTCTCTCTATGAATATCTATCTATAGTTATAGCTCTATCTCTAGTCTCCTTCTTAATTATCACCATGGTTTAATGTTCATAGATGTCTTAATTATGAGCCCTTTAATCTATTCCTGGTGAATACCAAGAATCTCTGCCACATTACCTTGAGAAGAACATAATCTAAAGGATGTTAAATACTAATTTGTAAATGAATATAGTTCTTAATTTCTATTTTTTGTTTTAGCTGGCTGTCTGGAATTATACATATCTATAGTCCTCAGGTGTGGGCCTGCTGCTTGCGATACATGTTCAGTTCTTCTATTCAAGAAAGGTAAGTGATATTTTTATTTTGATAGGGTTTTATTTTGATCTTTTCCTCTACTCATGTTTTATTGGTGTCATTTAAGATTCATGCAATGCCTTAACCTTTTATATTATTTGCAAAACAGAAGAATAAACACACCAAGGAAAACAAACCTTATATTAAATAGGAATAAAACCAGACAAAAAAGATGATGTTGTGCTAAACTTGGAAATACCAAGGAATTCACTTGCCTAACAACAGTACTATAGCACAAAAGATACATTTTTAATGAGTGGGGGAGAAATCCCCTAGGGATCATCTACTCTAGCATTCTATTTTATAAAAAAGATTAATTTTCATTGATGTGACTGAAAATAAGTTAGAATTTTTTTACCTTACAAGTGTTTTATTTACTCAGTGCTACTGATAGTACCCTAAGAAACACTTGAAGTTTAATGTTCTTGGAACTAAAGTATAAGCTTTGGAAGTAATAAACTTTCTGACCTCACTTCCTCATTTTATTTTGTACATGATACCACTATTTGCTTCTTACTTTCTTCGCCTATTAAATGAAAATTCCATATTCTCTTTCTGTCTGCTTTGCTGGCTATAATACATTAAAAAAAATTAATGGAAAGGCAGTGCAAGTGCATGACAATAAATAAGACATACATAAAGATGCATAGTAAAAATGTCTCTTCCACCCCATTTCCCCCGACCCTATCCCCAGAGACAATCACTGTTAAAGGAGTGCTTCCTTCTTGAAGCATAGACAAATATCACCCTTCCTGACCTATAAAAGTTAAATAAAAAATGAGATCACACTGTTCCCCCTTTTCTCTATTGCTTTTTTCTTTGTCATTATAACTTAAAGATCATTACTAAATCTTGGCACATATAGGTTTAACACATATGTTTTAAAACTGAATAGTAAATCATATATACTACATTTCTAAAACTCCTTTTGCTTGCAGATAACTTTGTGTATACATCTTTGTGTGCAGATACTAGTATATTTGTAGAATAAATCCCTAAAAGTGTTTTTTTCTGGGTGAAATAGCATATAATTTTAAGTTTTGGGGCATGCTAAGTCGCTTCAGTCATGTCCCACTGTGTGAGACCCTTCCAGGCTTCTCTGTCCATGGGATTCTCCAGGGAAGAATACTGGAGTGAGTTACCATGCCCTTATCCAAGGAATCTTCCCAACCCAGGGATCAAACCTATGTCTCTTGCATCTCCTGCGTTGGCAGGTGGATTCTTTACCACTAGCGCCACCTGGGAATCTTTAGTAGATATTGCCAATTTGCCCTTCAAAGACTACCAATTTATAATCTTTCTGATAGTGTTTGAGAGTGTCTGTTTTCTCCATCCCCTCACTAACACTGTTGAGCACCTACTATGTATCAAGCACTATTTGTGATATTGACAGTAAGCAGTACACAAAATAAAAACCCTATAGAGAAAAGTATTAAATAGGAAAAGTAAAATAAATAGTATTTTACAAGGTGATAAGTGCTGTGAAGAAAAATAAGCAGGGGAGGTAGATGTTGTGTTGATACAGTGTCATGTAGGGTTGCAATTTTAAATAGGGCAGTCAGGCAGGCAAAGACTTAAATTGAGGGAGTAAGCCACATGGCTGTCTGGGGCAGTGTCCCAGACAGATGGGTACAAAGGCTGTGCGTGAAAGATGACCTTGCATCTTTAAGGCACAGAAAGGAGGTATCGTGACTGAAGGAGGAGTGAGGGAAGGGAAAAACAGTAAGACCTCAGAGAGGTAACTGGAGGGCCATCATTAGACTTTGACCTTTGCAAATCTGACAGATGAAAAAATGGCCTTTTCTGATATTTTATCACATCAGCTTCTTGGAACTTCCTAATCATGTCTCTTGCCATTGGATTGTGCATCTTTTTCACATTGCTTTATAACTACTCTTTTTCTTTGTCACTCTCTGTATGTATGCATTTATATAATATGTAAAGTATACAGAGAAAATGGGCTTCTCCGGTGGCTCAGCAGTAAAGAATCCACCTGCAGCGCAGGAGACACAGGAGACATGGGTTCAATCCCTGGTGTGGGGAGATCCCATGGAGGAGGGCATGTAACCCACTCCAGTATTCTTGCCTGGAAAGTCCCATGGACAGAAGAGCCTGGCGGGCTATAGTCCATAGGGTTGCAAAGAGTCAGACACTAGTGAAGCAACTGAGCACAGACGGACACACAGAGATATATGTGTTTATTGAAATATATGTGTTATATGCTACAAAGATTTTTTATATATATATAAATATGTTATAAAAATGTGCATGTGTATATATGTATTGGTGGGATTCTTAGGTGACTTAGTAGTAGAGAATCTGCTTGCCAGTGCAGGAGACACAGGTTCAATCCCTGGGTTGGGAATATCCTCTGGAGAAGGAAATGGAGCCCACCTCAAGTATTCTTGCCTGGGAAATGCCATGGACAGAGGAGCCTGGTGGGCTACAGTCCAGTCTGTGGGAGTCACAAAGAGTTAGATGTGACTGAGCACTCTATAGATACACAGGCACAAGTTTATTTCCCCCAGAATGTCATTTTATTTGACTTTGGTTAATATTTTTTCCCAAATAGATGTTTTTTTAAAGTCAGATTTATCCTTTCTTTTTCTATTTTGCTTAGAAAAGATTTTTATTAAAATAAAAATCTCTTTAGAAGCTTTTACAATTCTACTTTTTACATTTTATTTTTATTATAAAATACAATTAGTTTTCCTTGCAATAAAAGGGAAATTAAAAGTTCATTTTAGCATATTAGTACAATTAAGTTTTATTATCAGTGACTGGTCTTGCTTTAATTACTTACTGATAGTAAATGCTCGGTAAAGTTAGTTTTGAAGCTCTGTTAGTCTGAAGCGTTAGGCAATTTCTCTGATACCTGGACTCTAATACCACCCTTTAACCAAGAGGCATCAGTATTGCTTGGCACGCTTAGGTTGATACTTAACAGCATTCTGATCAGTGGTCTTATCTGACTCTCAAGTGAGGAATTGGACAGAACGGACATTCTGCTTCCTAAATCCCCACTGCCTTATTTTGTTATTAGTATAATATATCCCTAAATCATTTTCATTCAACATTTTACAAAGTAGAGAATTACTAAAAGTATTTTTAAAAACTGGGTTTTGGTGTGTGTTTTAAGGACTCTTGATTACTTTACAAATATTTGTTGAGTCATGTAGTGAACAAAATAAATATTCATTTTATCATTGTTTACAATAGTGAAATACTATAAATAATTTAAATATCCACTTTTAGAAGTCTACATGAACCAGTAATAGCACATCTATATGTTATATTACTGGATAGTAACCAGCAAAGATTAAGAATATCAAAGGTATATATAGAATAGTGACATGGAAAGAAATCCAAGATTGTCACATAAGAACTAGCAAATGCAATTAAGGAAACAGTTCCATTTACCATTGCAGCAAAAATAATAAAATACCTAGGAATAAATCTGTCTAACCTGACCTGTACTCAGAAAACTATAAGATACTGGTGAAAGAAATCAAATATGATGCAAACAGATAGAGAGATGTGCTATGTTCTTAGATAGGAAGAATCAGTAGTGTAAAAATGGCTGTACTACTCAAAGCAATCTACAGATTCAGTGTAATCCCTCTTAGATTACCAGTGGTGTTTTTCACAGAATTAGAACCAAAAAATTATATAACACAAAAGACCCCAAATAGCCAAAGCAATCTTGAAAAAGAAAAACTGATCTGGAGGAATCAGGTTCCCTGTCTTCAGACTATGCTACAAAGCTACATTAATCAAGACAGTATGAAAAAAATATGGTACTGGCACAGAAACAGAAATATCAGCTAGTGGAATAGGATAGAAAGCCCAGAGATGAACCCATACACCTATTGTCATCTAATCTATGACAAAGAGGAGAGTATACAATGGAGAAAAGACAACCTTCTTTAATAGTGGTGCTGGGAAAACTGAACAGCTACATGTAAAATACTGAAATTAGAATGTTCCCTAACACTATACCTGGAGAAGGAAATGGCAACCTACTCCAATATTCTTGCCTGGGAAATCCCATGGACAGAGGACCCTGGCTAGCTACAGTCTATGGAGTCGCAAAGAGTTAGACATGACTGATCTGCTAAACAACAACAACTAACACCATACACAAAAATAAACTCAAAATAAAGGCCTACATGTAAGGACGGACACTGTAAAACTTAAAAGAAAACATGGGCAGAACACTCACTGACATATTGTAGCAAGATGTTTTCTGACCCACCTCTTAGAGTTATGAAAACAAAAATAAATAGGTGGGACCAAATTAAATTTAAAAACTCTTGCACAGCAAAGGAAACCATAGACCAAACAAAAAGACAACCCCTAGAATGGAATAAAATATTTGCAAATGAAGTGACTGACAAATATATAAAGCTACTCCAAAATATATAAACAGCTCATGCAGCTCAATATCAAAACCAAGCAGTTAGTATCAGTTAGTCGCTAGTTGTGCCTGACTCTGCATCCCCACGGACTGCAGCATGCCAGGTTTCCCTGTCCATCACCAACTCCTGGAGCTTGCCCAAACTCATGTCCATAGAGTCAGTGATGCCATCCAATCATCTCATCCTCTGTCGTCCCCTTCTCCTCCTGCCTTCAATCTTTCCCAGAATGAGGGATTTTTCCAATGAGTCCGTTCTTCACGTCAGGTGGCCAAAGTATTGGAGCTTCAGCATCAGTCCTTCCAATGAATATTCAGGACTGATTTCCTTTAGGATTGACCAAGTAACCCAGTGGAAAAAGGGGCAGAAAACTTATATAAACATTTCTCCAAAGAAAACGTACAGACCAACAAACACGTGAAAAGATGTGTAGCATCACTTATTAGAGAAATGCAAATCAAAGCTACAATGAGGTATTACCTTACACCAGTCAGAATGGTCATCATCAAAAAATCTACAAACAATAAATGCTGGAGAAGGTGTGGAGCAAAGGGAACTCTTCTTACACTGTTGGTGAGGATGTATTATAAATTGGTACAGCCACTGTGGAGAACAGTATGGATGTTCCTTAAAAAACTAAAAATAGAACTATCATATTACCCAGCAATCCCACTCCTGGGCATATACCTGGTAAAAAGTTGTAATTCCAAAAGATTTATGCACCCCAGTGTTCATTGTAGCACTATTTACAATAGCCAGGACATGGAAGCAACTTAGATGTCCATCAATAGAGGAATGGATAAAGAAGATATGGTACATATATATAATATAATGGAATATTACTCAGCCATAAAAAGGAACAAAATTGGGCCATTTGCAGAGATGTGGATAGACCTAGAGATTGTCATACTGAGTGAAGTAAGTCAGAAAGAGAAAAACAGTTATCAAATAATATCACTTATGTGTGGAATCTAGGAAAATGATACAGATAACTTATTTGCAAAGCAGAAGTAGACAGATGTGGAGAACAAACCTATGGATATCAAAGGGGGTGGTGGGTAGGATGGGTTGGGAGATTGGTATTGACATATATATACTACTATGTATAAAACATAGTAGTAATGAGAATCTATTGCAGAGCACATGGAACTCTACTTAATGCTCTGTGATGACCTAAATGGAAATATGAAAATGAGGGGTTGTATTTGTGTAACTGATGCAGTTTGCTGTACAGCAGACACTAACACGATATTGTAAATCAACTGTACTCCAGTAAAAATTAATTGCAGGGGGGTGTGGATTCAATACCTGGTCAGGGAAAAGTAAGCGTAGGTTTGCACTTCAGTTGTCTTCCCAAAATTGGACTGTTTAGTTAGTCTGTTAACTAAGTTGAGAGACTCACATAGAATTCTTTGATGTGCTTTTGTTATTTTCAATAAATTTTAAGTATATGGCATTGTTTTTGTCCAGGGTTTTTTCCGAATCTGGAAATTTCATCATAGTTCTCTATTCTGTGACACATAAGGACCCTGAATTTTATGAATGCCTCCCTTGTGATGGCAGGGTACCTGACCTTCGATTCCAGCTACTAACCAGCAAGGAAACATTACGCCTTTTCAAAGTAAGTGTTATTGGATCACCTAGCACACTAATGACTATTTAGTTATATGTTGTTGTATATTAGCCTTTTAAACCCAATGGTCTCTACCCTTTAAAATAGTAACTCAAGCTATTAGACTTTATTTTTGATCAGTCTTACTTAATATTAACTTTATTCATTTATGGTTAATTTCATTTTGTAAGTTTTAGGACATAACCTCCAGAACCAAATTCTAATACAGGATCAAATGTTATCCACAGACTAACTTTTCCATGTTTTTCTAAAACCTTTTAAGGCTATATCAAGAATTTATGTATTGTTTTATTTTATGATGTGGAGAGTTAATTCATGATCTTAGTGTTTCCTTTGTCCTGAAAGTTAATTTTTTAAATTATGGGTATAAAAAATGATTTCTCATAGTTAAAAGTCAGCATCTATAATATGTAATCCTTGGAATCAGAGTGGATTGGTGCTGTATCCAATAACATACATAAAAATACATTTAGGTGATGGTCACAGAAAAAGTAGGTCTTTGAAACCATAGTGTCATTATGTAAAAGCATTCTATGGCTGGGAATTGTCTTGTGGTCCATTGGCTAAGATTCTTTGCTCCTTCCTGGTCAGGGAACTAGATCCCACTTGCCACAGCTAAGACACAGTATAGCCAAATAAATAAATAAAAATAAATAAAGTTTTTTTAAATGAAATTTATCCTTTTAAGGAAAATATTCTAAGGCCAATAATAAAAAATAATTCTAAAAAAAAATTATGTATCTTTTTACAAAAATATTGACAATCCCTAAATAACAGTGTGTTTCTACTTAGATTTTATTTTGTGCCTTTAATTTCATTTATAGGTTATATTGATTCATGAATCAAGTTTTTGTATTTTAATTATAAGCATAATCACCTTTGAGGTATAATTATTTATTTCCATTTTAAAGACATACATCATTCACTCATTTTATTCTTCAGATTATATCCTCAGTTTAAAATTACTATTTAACTGAATCCTGGTTATTAAGTTGTAAGTTATATAGCAAAGTTAAGTTTTCACTTTCATTTATATAGTAAGCAGATAGTTAGTTTTTAAACAGTTGCATAAAAATAGAACTACCATATGATTCAGTAATTCCACTTCTGGGTGTTTATCCAAAGGAAACAAAAACACTAATTCAAAAAGATACCCACACCACCATGTTAATTGCAACAGTATTTACAATAGCCAAGGCATTAAAGTAACCTAAGTGTCCACAGATGGATGGATAAAGAAAATATGATTTATATTGTATCATATATTTATATAATGGAAAACTATTCAACCATAAAAAAGGAAGGAAATCTTGCCATTTGTGACAACATAGATGGACTTTGAGGGCATTATGCTAAGTGAAATTAATAAAACATAGACAATACCATTTGTCACTTATATGTGGAATATTAAAAAAAAAATTAAAACATTTCATTGAACTCACGGAGAGAACAAATTGGTGATTTGCAAGAGAGTGATAAGGGTTAGGGAAAGTTTGAGGATGGCCAAAGGTGGTCCAAAGATACAGACTTGCAGTTTTAAAGTAGATAAGTCATGGAGATGTATATACAGCATGGTGAGTATAGTTAATAATACTGTACTGTATTTTGAAAGTTCTTATTATAAGAAAAAATTTATCATCTGTATGGTGGTGAATGTTAACTAGACTTATTGTGGTGGATGTTTCATAATATATTCAAATATTGATTCATGTTGTACACCTGAAAGTATTATAATGTTATGTCAATTATATCTCAATTTTAAAAATATTTTTTTCAAGAAAGATTATAGTTACAGAAATCAGAATTCCCCTTCCCACCCAGTGTTTCAGAGCTACTTTTCATCTACATAGTATTCTCTGGTGTTTATTTAAGTCACATCTCAAAGTATGACCTACTTTATTTCAGAATGTTGAACCTTCTGACAAAAATCCAGTCTGTTTTGAACTGAGTGCTGAAGACCACAATGCAGAAAGAGAGTTTTTTAACAAAGTTTCTAAGAATCTTTCAATTAAGAGGTAAAAGATATTTTTATTATCATACTTTTTTTATTACTTTCATTAGTTTTTAATAATTAAAGTAAGTCCCCAGTTATTTCTGAGGGAACTATTTGTAAATCTTATACCACAGGTGTCCTTACTTTAAATGCATTCCTTCATATTTGTAAGTTGGATGATAATTTTAATGAAGTGACAACTCTAATATAGTTCTCATTTGACTTGATTCATTACATAAGGGAACAAAAGTATTTGTCAAGAAATTATCTTGCTTAAGAAGAAGCATCCTGTTTTTGTTTAGTTTGCCTTCAGTTCTTCCCTTCCTTGTAGTATTAAACCTAAGGCTATCAGATAAACTACTATAAAAATAACTCCTACTATAAAAATAACTCCTCTACCTAAAAAAGAAAACTTTTAAAGCAAATGCACTTGGAGAATATTAAATAATGGCTTGTGACTTTTGAGGTCCAATATCTACTTTTGTGGTAAAGTAGATATTCCCTTTGTATTAGGGTTCTGCAGAGACATAGAACCAACTAGTGCATAGAGAGATTTGTTATTGCTAGCCTATTGCTATTCTACCAAATTACCACAGACCTAGTGACGTCAAACAATACAAATTTATTACCTTCTAGTTCTAGGAGTCAGGAGTCCAAAATGGGCCTTTGTGGCTAAAATCAAAGTGATGATAGGGCTGCATTCTCTTTGGAAGCTTTAGTGGTAAATCCATGTTGCTTTTTCCAGCTTCTAGAGGCCACCTGCATTCCTTGTTGTCTGGTGGTCCCTTACTCCACCTTCAAAGCTAGAAGCATAGCATCTTCAAATCTCTCTCTCTGACTTCTGTTCCTGTCCTCACATCTCCTTCCCTGACTCTTATCTTGACTCCATCTTATAAGGACCATTGTGTTTACATTGAGCTTACCTGATTGTCTAAGATAATCTCCACATCTCAAGATTCTTACCTTAAGGACATCTGCAAACTCCCTTTCCCCTTATTCACTAACATATTCACAGATTCTGGGGTTTAGAAAGATGTCTGAAGTTAACTCTGTCTTTGGGCATTTTAAGTTATCCTTGAAACAGGCTAGATCACCAGAAAACTATATTCTTATAGACTTGCAGGAACACCACCACTGACTGAAGGTTTAAGGCTTTTTTCAAGATTTTATTGAATGTTTATGGAAGAAAAAGCCAAGTTAAGGAGCCGCTTGATAATTTCTTTAACATTGTTGAAAAACAATGTCTGTTTTCAGCTCTGACCAAAGCTTTGATAAGGATCAGTCATTTTTAGGTTTGAATTTTAGTAAAATGTTTATCCCTAGATAACTTGTTGAAATTATACAACATTAAGTTTTTTCTTTTTGTTTGAGTGCTAAAAAAAGCCCACAGTGAATTTTTTTTTAATTTTTGGCTGCACCACATGGGATATAGGATCTTAGTTCCCCAACCAGGGATCGAAACTGTGCCCACTTGTTTTATTTTTTAAAGTAATTGAGGGAATTCCCTGGTGTTCCAGTGGTTAAGACTCACCACTTTCACTGCTGAGGCCTGGGTTCCATCCCTGATCAGGGAACTAACATCCACAAGCCATGCTGTGTGGCCAAAATTTTAAAAAGTAATTGAACTTAATTTCCATTTTGAGCCCCTCTTCATTATACGCAGTTATGGAAGCCAAATTTCAATCAATTCAAGGTCTGTTTATCCTGTTTCCACTGAGGTTTCATGTAATTTAGAGGGGACTAATGCTATGCCCTGTGCTTCCCTGGTGGCTCAGACGGTAAAGAATCCACCTGCCAATGCAGAAAACCTGGGTTCAATCCCTGGGTTGGGGAGATCCCCTGGAGAAGGGAACGGCAACCCACTCCAGTATTCTTGCCTGGAGAATGCCATGGACTGTAGCCCACCAGGCTCCCCGACAGGCGGACTACCTTCCATGTGGTCACAAAGAGTCGGACACAACTGAGCAACTAACAACTTTCACTAACACTGTGCCACTGCTGGTGATGTGGGGTGACGTGATTCTCATCCACTCACACTACTCGGCCATCTGCTGAGATGTTTTCTTTTGCATCTGGTCTTTGACAGTTGGTTTGTGCAGGTTCCTGCTGCAACCTCTTTCCTGTTCAGGTCACTGGTTCTCTGTGTCTTGTCCATGCTGCGTGGAGGCATATGGAATATCATTCTGTATTCTCCATGTCCTTCTTGGGTATGGCAGGAGAGCTTTGTGGGATTGTTTCACTGCAGCACCTTGGCACAGAAAGAACTCTGTGTTTGCCAGGGTTTGGGACAAAAGTCTATTCTGCTGTCAGATCTTCTACATCTGCTTAAGGGTTTCTGTTGTTCAGCCTACTACGGAGATGGGACCCTTTCTTCAAAGTTCCATTAATGTCTAAGCTCTCTTAGCTTCCTCCTGGCTTTTCTTTCATCTTCCCTACCTCATCTTATTGAGATTTTATTTAGTTTAGGATGCACAAAAATTTGATGTATATAGTCTTTCAAATTTTAGTCTTAAACTCTTATTTCAGTATTTGAAATTCAGTACCAACACTCAAAACTTTTTCTATGTTCTGTTGAGGCATGATACTTGTGACACAATAGCCACAACTGACTAAATGGAAGGAGGTACTTCAGTTAGTCTCAGAGTAGTTTACCATAACAGATATAAGTACATAGGAAAATGTAATTCCTTACTTGATTTTTCTTTCTAACACTGAGTGTTTAATGTAATATGTTTATTAGTGAGTATACATCTCTTTCATCAGATGATAGATTTTTGATGGTAAATTCTATATCTTATGTATTTCTATGCTTCTTAAAGTGGTTAATCAGAAAATGCTCAGTAATTTGCTTTATTATGACTTAAGAATAACTGGGTTAGGGATGCAACTAGAGATGATCATACTAAGTGAAGTAAATCAAAAAGAGAAAGGCAAATACCATATGATATACTTACATGTGGAATCTAAAATATGAAATAAATGAATCTATCTATGAAACAGAAACAGAATCAGGGACATAGAGAAGAGACTGGTGGTCGCCAAGGGGCAAGTGGGTTGGAGAGGGTTGAATTGGGAGTTTGGGATTAGCAGGTGCAAATGGGTATATACAGAATGGATAAACAACACAGTCCTACTGTATAGCACAGGGAAATATATTCAATATCCTGTGATTAAACTATAATGGAAAAGAATATGAAAAAGAATGTGTATGTATGTATATGTATGTATGTATGTATGTATAACTGAGTCACTTTGCTTACAGCAGTAATTAACACAACATTGTAATTCAACTCTACTGTAATAAAAAAATAGGTTAAAAAAAAGAATAAGTGGGTTAAACTTGCCATGGTCAGGAGAAGGGGATAAATTATTAAGCATGAGTCTGACTGGCTCAACTTTCCTGATCATCTGACACTGGCTTGAAAAATAAAATAATTTTTGGTGTCATATTCTAAATTAAATGATCAAGATACTATTATGTCTAATTAAAGGACCTTATTCAATAGCTTCAAAATGAAAGAAGAGTGCTCACTTCAGCAGCACATATACTGAAATTGGAATGATACAGAAAAGATTAGCATGGCCTCTGTGCAATTGTGACATGCAAATTCATGAAGTGTTCCACATTTTTTTTTAAAAAAAGAACAAATGACTACTGATTACTAAAGACTTACTTTTTCTCCCCTCTGTTCTTTAGCTCTTCCCAGAAGTTACCTCCAGGGAAAATGCCAACGAATGATCATGACTCTGGCGTTGAAGATGAAGATGTTTCTCCAAGACCAATTCCTAGTCCTCATCCAGTGAGTCAGAAGGTATCACTGGTCTTAGAAACTCACCTTTGTAATTAGAAACCTAAAAGTCTCTTCATGTTAAAGCTCTCAATAATATATAAAGATACATATCATATATTCCTCACAGGTACATTTAATTATTATATGTAATAATATATATGAATATGTACACATATTATAATAAGTAAGTATTTTCAGAGAAAACCAAGGAAAAGAGGTTAAGTTATCTCCCTAGGATTATATAACTAGTAAGTAGTAAAGCTGGAATTCAGGAAGTTTAGGATTTGGTAGACTAGTAGTTTTAAGAGGTTTAGTTTCAGAATCTGGTGCTTTTAACCCATGTAGACTCAATATTCTATACTATCACCAGAACTCAACACTGTTTCTTATCACCATATTTTGAGAAAACGTTCTGCTTGCTTTTGGAGATTGCTAGCAACCCATCATATTTTTTTTATTGAGGCCAACTAATGGGTTATTTTAGAATTGTTCTGTCTTAATTGGACTAATTACTTATTACAAGAAAAGCAATGGGAAAGTTTTCTTAAATTAATATTATAACTGAATTCACCACAGCGGGTACTTTACTCCTTCTGGCTCTCCTCCAGCTCTTTTAGTTGATATCAATAAAAAGAATAGCAGTGAATAATTTCACTTAGTATGATATTTTGAAATACTTACTGGAAGGCCCTTTCTTATAAGATGAAAAAACATATTTTTTACTAGATGTGTTGAAGCATCTGGTCTGATAATTTTTTTGTTTTTGCAGAGGGGGTTAAAAAAAAGTCTGTTTCCCATGTTGAGTTCTATAATCTAAGCAACGTTAAATCGGTGTTCCAATGTAAAGAGTTTCATTGTTAAATAAGTTTGTGAGGGCAAGGACCTTATTTATTTTGTTCACAATTGTGTTCCTGGTACTAGCACATAGAAGATGTCCAGCAAATATTTGTCAACTGTCTAAATAATCAACACTTTTTAATAAATAACTGAATACAATTTGGAAAATACTAGCTTAAGGAAAATGAAGCATATGTCATTCTCCTGAAAGGTACTTTTTACTCTTTCATTTCTTTCACACTTGTAGGTTTCTAAGATCCAGCCATCAGTTCCTGAACTTTCACTTGTGTTGGATGGAAACTCCGTAGAACCAATCCCTGTGCCTAACCCATTGGAAATGGTGAATAATGAAAATCCTCCTTTGTTGATTAACCATTCTGAGCACCTTGAGCAGTCACAACCCCAGCTTTGTGATGAGAAACACAGACCAGAAGCAGAAGCTGGAGAGCCTTCCTTCAGAGGGCTACCAAATCAATTAAACCAAGACACTGCTCCTTTGAGACACTGCAAAGTAAGACAGCTGTCTACCTGTAAGAAAGGGAACTCTCATATCAGGAACAGTAGTAAGCCCTCTTTTAATGGACTATCTTCAGATACATCTGAAAAGCTTCAAACAGTTTCTGCTGCAAATGTACACAAAGAAGAGTATCCTGTAAGATCCTCCACGTTTAATTCCAAGCCTTCTTCTCTTGCCCCACAGTCCCACCCACACAATTTTGTTTTTTCACCCCATAATTCAGGAAGACCAATGGAATTTCAAATACCTACTCCCCCGCCACCATCTTACTATTCCACAAATGTTTGCAGTTGTTGTCAGCATCATGGCCATATTCAGTATAGTCCAATAAATTCTTGGCAAGGGATGAATACAGTAGGATCTGTTCAAGACTTCAAGTCTGAAACCCTTCAAAAGCATTCATTATTTCATCCAAGTGGATGTCCAGCTCAGTACCATAATGCATTCTTTTCTTCAAGTAGTCCTATAGCCTTGAGACCTCAGGGAAGCATGGGGGGTTGTTCTTCCCACAGCAATGCAGAACCATCACCTGTGGCAAGACTACCTCCACACATGGACTCCTGTAACCCATGGCCTTGTGCAGTGTGTGTGCACACACCCAAGACTGGGTCAGATGATGGAATGATGGGACTGTCTCCAGATGCGTATAGGTTCATCACAGAGCAAGACAGACAGCTTCGACTGCTTCAAGCACAGGTTTGCTAGCTTTCTTCTGTTAAATTCTTGAATTTTTAAGAAGTAACTGGCAACTCTTCAGTAACTATAGTTTATGAAGTAGAATTGCAGAATGTCAGAAGAGACCCCGGAAACTGGATTCTAGTCCCTGATGTTTTACACATTAGGAAAATGAGGATTTGGATAAGGAAATGGCAACCCACTCCATTACTCTTGCCTGGGAAACCCCATGGATGGAAGGAGCCTGGCAGGCTACAGTCCATGGAGTTGGAAAAGAGTCAAACATGACTTAGCGACTAAACGGCAACAATCAGGGTTTTATTTGTTGCTTAATTTTATTTTGTTATAAGAGAAAATATTTTTTTTCTTTTTATCCTTAGATGACTGACTCCATATATTTACTGAGTAATATATCTTTTTGTTAATGATTTAAAAGTGTATTTTTTATTGTATAATGAAAGTATCATGTGTTTTTATCTGTTTCTATACTGTACTCTCCATTGATCTGCCTGTCTATTCCAGCACTACTACCATTTAGTTTAATCTCTGTAACTTTATAGTAAATGTCTTATCAAGTACTTCCTATGCAGTTTCTCTAAACCTCACTTTTTTCAGCTGTAAAAAAGGTTAAATGAATTTATATGTGTATATATACACACACATCTGTCTATCCATCTAAAGTGCTTAGTGTAGGATGAAGCTTTAGTAAACAATCAGCAAATTACAATTATCTTATTTGTCTCTTAGTCCTCACAACTACCTTAGTCTTAGGTAATATTGAATCTCACAGTGGCTAAATAGCTTCTCCAAAAGGTAACAGTAGGAGTTAAGTTGTGTCCTCATGACGCTAAAGCCCATGCTCCGAACCACTAGAAGTACATATGCCTTTTTGTATTATTAATGCAGGCTGTATTTCTACTGATGTCAGTAATTTATTGAAAATACTTATTTTTCCTATATTAATAAAGTTAATCAGCTAAAATTAATGAGATGAGTTGAATACAGCAGTGTAACTTATGGGCTTCCCTGGTAGCTCAGACGGTAAAGCATCTGCCTGCAATACAGGAGACCCAGGTTTGATCCCTGGGTTGGGAAGATCCCCTGGAGAAGGAAATGGCAACCTTCTTAACTTAATAAAGTTAATCTGCTAAAATTAATGAGATGAGTTGAATACAAAGTGTAACTTATAGGGAAACAAGATTACAGTGTTTAAAAGAGGAGGCTTTTCCACTCCTAGGTGTATATCCAAGAGAAATGAAAAAAATATCATCACACAAAAACTTTTACACACATATTCATAACAACATTGTTTATAATAGCCAAGGGTGAAAACAATCCAAAGTCCATCAACTGATGAATAGATGAACACAAATGTGACATTATATATACAATGGAATATTTCAGTCATCAAAAGGAATGAAGTATTGATAGGTACTACAGTACAGATAAACTTTGAAAATATTATGCTAAATGAAAAAGGCAAGATAAAGGCACGTGTTGTTTGGTTTCATTTCTATCAAATGTCCAGAATCGGCACATCTATAGAGATACAATGGCTTCTCAGGTGACACTAGTGGTAAAGAACCTGCCTGTCAAAGCAGGAGACATAAGAGATATGAGTTTGATCCCTGGGTTGGGAAGATCCCCTGGAGGAGAGCATGGAAACCCACTCCAGTATTCTTCTCTGGAGAATCCCTTGGACAGAGGAGGCTGGTAGGCTACAGTCCATAGCATTGCAAAGAGTCGGACATGACTGAGGTGACTTAGCACACACACACACATATAGAGATAGAAAGTAGATTAGTGGTTGCCAGAGGCTAGATTCTGGAGCCATGGAGAGTGACAGCTAATGGGTACAAAGATTTTGTAAAGGTTAATGAAAATGTTGTAGAGTTAGATGGTGGTGATGGATGCAGACCTTGAGAATATACTAAAAACTATGAAATTGTATACAGGGATAAGTTGGTTTTTTTTCCTTTTAAATTGGAGGATAATTGCTTTACAATGTTGTGTTGGTTTCTGCTGTACAACATCATGAATTGGTCATAGCTATATATTCCTTCCCTCTTGAGCACCCTCCCACCCCCCCATAAAGGGATAAGTTTTATGGTAGGAGGGTAAGCTTTTAGTGCTTGAACTTCAGCTTGGCTACTTGTTAATTATGTGACCTGGGCAAGTAACTCTATTTTTATTGCCTCAGGTTTTTTTCTCTGTAAACTGTGCTTACTAGTAGTACATATTCACAGGGTTGTTATAAAAAATCATACATAAATGCTCTTATTGTAATGTCTCGTAAACAGGAAGCACTCAGTGTTAGAGATTGTTATTAATATTTCCAATTTCAGCATGACCAAACATGGATAATTCTGGATGACCTTTATAAAATGAATCTTGTGTAAAAAAAATTGTTCAAATTTGGTATGTAGATTTAGAGAATGCCGTCTGTCTTACTTTTAATTCATAAGTGAAATAGAAATAAAATGTCAAAGTGTTAACATTAAGGCTTTTCTACATAAGTGTCAATTTATGAATGTTGATCTAAGCACCTATGTTTTTACTTTTAATAGGTAGCCCATCTGAATGCTTCTTAATAACTAATGACAATGATTTTCAGCATTGAATAAATTTTATGGTACAATCTAGTTGATATGTGAGAAAATATAGTTAAAAGTCAGTTATTTATAACTGGGGCACTTTGTAATTCATTTTTAAACTCTTCTGTCAGTTTGGTTGATTACTTCACTGTCATAAACATATATAAAAAAGTCTTTTTAATTGATACAGATTCAGCGTTTGTTAGAAGCACAGTCTCTGCAGCCCTGTTCCCCTAAGACAACCACTGTTGAAGACACAACGCAAGCTGCAAGACAAATGGAGTTGGTTTCCATGGAAGCACAGCCTCCCCCTGCTTTGCACATGAGAAAAAGTGTAAGCATTGCTGTGAGCACAGGTAATTTCATTTTTCTTAATTTGTACATAGTACACATAGAATTAAAACCAAGGTGATGAGAGTGTAACTTAACTCTTTGTGTGATTTTATTCTTTATGAAACAAAACTCTACCTGAAAACAGATTGGAAACCACATAACACAATGTGTTGTTTGTTTTTGCTGCTTTTCCAAGCTGGACCCAGTTCTAATGAGAGAAGTCATCTGTGGTTTAGGGGATCAGGGAAGATTTCATCCATGCAGTGTTATTGATTCTGGGCCTTGAAGGGAATGTAGGATCTTGCTGGAAATGAAAGATAGCAGAACAGATTGGGTAGAGAAAATATGGGCTCAGAGAAACAATGCAGAGTTCTGAGTTCAGAGTTCTAGTACTCAACCCATTACTATGTCACGGAGAGCCATTACTATATCTTTCACAAAGCTGTCTGTTTCATCTTGTAAGCAAAATAGAAGGCCTTTTAAAAAAAATCAGTAATATAAATGACATCTATGTGTTTACATATTTACTCACAATCAGACTATGAGATCTTTAAGAACATTTTTGTGTGTTCAGTATCTAGCAAGATGTCTAGTATATAGGGTGGGGGTTATAAGACTGAAGAGGAAGAGTCATGTATAGTGTTGATAAGATTTGAGAACTAATTGGATATGGCAGTTGGAAGAGGGACGATTCAGTTAAGATTAGTTCAGATTCATTTAGTTAAATGCTGTGTGATTATCCTGGATTGGGTCCTGAAACAGAAAAAAGACATTAGTGAAAAAATTGATGAAATCCAAACAAAGTCTGGTTAGTTAATAGTAATGTACCAACACTGTTTTCTTGATTTTGAAAAATGTACCATAATAATATAAGATGTTAACAACAGGGAAGACTGGGTGAGGAATACACAGTAACTCTGTTTTATCTTCTCTGTGAATCTAGAATTATTCCAAAATTAAACATTTATTAAAGGTGAAAATAAAAGTTACTTCATGATCTTGAGCTTGGATGACAGAGGGAGGCAAGTTAGAGAAGCAGAGGGGAGGAGATGAGTTCAGTCTAAATATCTGTTCAGATTGAGCTACTTTTGGAAATGTAGATAGTAATACTCAAATGTTAGGAGAGTGGAGTGGATTGATGACATAAGAGTTGTGAAAGTAACAGATGAAGGTTTGAGCCTGGAGAATACAAATTTAGGAAGAGCATTAACAAGGAAGACAGCTTGCTATATTCTTTATCTGTACCCATATGTTATCTAAACTTCATGAAGAGGGCAGCAGTGAGGGAGGGTAGCAAGAACCTCATGTACATTTATAAGTCAAATTCAGGTATTACTCAGTATTAGTTAAGATTTTTTTAGCAGCAAGTAACATAAGCCACTTTGAACTAAGCAAGGAGGGAGAATTTACTGGAAGGATATGGGGATGTTTCATGAAAACCAAGGCCAAGAATTGGGCTGGACTTCAGAAAAAAACTAGACATTGACACTAGAAAATCATTGGAGTATCCAGTTATTACACATGGCTGTTTTATCAACTCTATCTGGAGTCTTCACTGCTTTACATTTTAAAATACAGCTCGCCCAGAGCCCCAGAGTTTCTGTTATACAGTTCTACCCATGTACACAAACCACATTAGGATCCTTCAGTCTCAGCTTCAAAATGCTGAACCTGAATGGTCTAGTTTGGGTTAGATTTTAATCCCTGGTTCAGGGATAAGGGGATTGAGAAGCATGTAATAGGGACATATCTGCTGGAGTCCCATCTTTGTTAATTGCAAGGATGACAGTTTCCTGCATATGTGTGCTGTAGAGGGTGGTGGTAAAGCAGTATTATGAGATAAACCAAGAAGTGCAGTTTCCTTCTGTGTCTCTTGTGAAGTCTGTACTTACTATATTTCAGTTGCTCACCATCTGTATCTGTCACTAGACTGTAAACTTTTATTGACTGTTGTATCTTATTACCTAGCCTGATGCCTAAATCAAACTGATCTCCTGAAATTATTTGAAACAAGTTTTTAAGCATGATGCATATTTCAAATATTTTGAAACCTCATAGAGTCATATTTAGAGCTTTGACTTATATGCAGAAAAATGAATTATTAGTCATTTGAATTAAATGGCTCTCTATGATAATACTTAATTCCTAAGGGTATACACTGGTAGGTGTTCAGGAAGAGTAGCAGCACTTAAATAACTTTTCTAAATTGTCCTTTTATTTTTTGGGGGGGCTGTGCTGTGTGGCTTACAGGATCTTAGATCCCTGACCAGGGATTTTTTTAAATGCTTAGTTGAATACAAAACTAAATCATCCTTTTATTAATTTATGTTTATAAAATCACCCAAGTTGATGCTCAGAGTGGAAAGAGTTTTGACTTGAATTTAGTCTTTGGTTTTAACTTTATTTCTTTAAATCATGTATGTATCACAAGATTTCTCAAAATGTGGAATGCATATCGCTCAGATTCAAAAGATGATTTGGTGTAGCATAGAGATTACTATTTTATACTGTGTAGATATATTTATTCCTATAAGTATTGGAAAAAAATATAGCTAGCACATAAAAATCAATGATTTCACAGAAATGATGCAGCTAGGTAAAACAGTGAGTTGATTTAAAGAAAATCAGTAAGCAAATAATAATACATGCAAATAATTGTGCAAATGATCTATACAGTTTGGGAAATATTTGATTTTTACTTGCTTTATATTACATATGTCTGATATAACCCTAATACAGTCTCATAAATATTGTGTTTAAGAATCGAAATCAAACACCCCAGGGATTTGCATTTTATATATCCTCTCCTGTTTTTCAGAACAGCAGTTTTCGAAACACATATATACTCCAAATCACATTCAGAACCTTGACATGTAAAACTCGTCATGAGAGCCACACCTCTTGAAAAGTCAGGGCCTGAAGGGTCCTCTTTTCCTTTGTGCTCAGTTTCCTCTCTTTTCACTTTTCATTTATTTCTTCATGGCATTTCTGAGAAATATAATCTGAAAACAGTTCTAGGTAATTGTGTTAAAATAATATAGCTAACATTACCTAACAAAAGTTTGTCAGAGAATTATTTTTTATAATTGAGTGTTTCTGCATCTGTTAAATCATCTATTCTCCAGGTGCCAGCTTGTTTTGGAATGCAGCAGGTGACGATCAAGAGCCTGAATCTCAGCTGAGGCAAGATGATACCAAGATTTCCAGTGAGGACATGAATTTTTCTGTTGATATTAATAATGAAGTCACAAGTACTCCAGGTAGTGCATCTTCATTAAAAGCTGTTGATATTCCCAGTTTTGAAGAGAGTAATGTTGCTGTGGAAGAAGAATTTAATCAGCAACTTTGTATATCCAAGTAAGATCTCTTTGATTCAGTACTCATCTTTTTTTCTTTTTAAATTCTAATATTCCTCTGGTAGTCTAACTCAGAAACTGTTTTGTAAAAGTATTTTCATGGTGTCTTTCCTAATGTGATTCCTATGTAACAGACAGTTCTTTTTTTGCTGCACCACTTGTCATATGGGATCTTAGTTTCCCCCATCAGGGGTCTGACTTATGCCCCCTGCAATGGGAGCATGGAGTCCTAACCACTGGACTTCTAACCATTGAACTGCCAGGGAATTCCCTGTAAAAGACAATTCTGAGCCTTCTGGGACCATTCCCAGATGTCAGTCATTGGACCTATAATACAGTCTTACTGAATCAGAACAGCTGAAGATTTCAGAAATATCTATGTCAGGCCTCACTAGAGATTCTGATAACACTAGGTTCCAGATGGAGCCAGGGTCCTGAATTTTTTAAATTTTTATAAAGATTTACATACTGCAATTATATGTGTATAACAACAGAGTCTTTATTTCTGAGAGATATAACCTGTTATTCAAGATATACTCAATAAGCTGATGGGGATGAAATGGCAAAGGGCAGAGCTGAAGTAAGATAGACTCTGAGTAGATAATTTTTAAAACTGATTGTACATAGTGGTTTGTTAAAAACTCTCTTGTGTTTGAAATTTTTCTTTATGAAATTTTCTATGAAAAAAATAAGGATTCTGAAGTAATTCAGATCCTTTGCAAATTTGGATCTGAACAAATTCAGCAAATATTCTTTGAGCTTCTGGTATATGTTGCCAAAAAACTAAGCCCTAGAAATTGAGCAGTAGGTCAGACAAAGCTCCTGACTTCATGGAATTTCCATGAGTTCTGGAGACAGTAACCGCATCAGCAGGAAACATATAATTTCATATGAAGACCACTGCCTGAAGAAAATAAACCAGGGTGACCAAGTGGAGTGTAACTAGGATAGTGGCATGGGAGTGAAGTGGGTATATTAAGTAAGATGGTGAAAGAAGCCTTTAGATTATGTAGGGCTCTGTAGAATGTAGAAGTTCTGAATGTATTCTGTGTTCATTAGAATCAGGGAGGATTTTAAATGACATAGTAGTATGATCATTTTTGTTTTTTAAAGGCCATCCCAGCTGTTTTGTGGCAAGTGAACTGACGGGGGTTAAGATTAGAAGTAAGGAGACTGGTTAGTAAATTGAAGACCAAGTAAGATGAAGGTGCCTGGGAATTGGAAGTGGTGGCAGGGATCAGGTGTAGGATAAATTTTGAATGTGGAGGAATAAGGTGGGTTAAAACACCACAGTGTAATATCACATGAAATAGTTTTAAAAGAGGTGAATTCAGTGGTAGGGGTGGCGTGAGCAGGCATTTGATTACTTTTTAAAATTTTAAGCCTTTTGGTAATATGTGATATTTTAAATTATCTGATTACAATAATGATTAGAACAACAAACATACCCTTCCAGAAAACCAAAAATATTTATCTGCTTTGCTCAGTAGAGAGTATGTTTTAACCTTACAATTCAATTAAGTATTTATAATATGTACCACAGTATATTAAAAAGATCTGTATACCTGTCTCGACCCCCACTAGATTGAATTCCTACAGTTTGTGGATCATACTCATTTCTGTATCATTAGGACTTGAACCAGTGTCTGGTTCCCCACATCAGCTACTTAATAGATGTTCGGTGATAGGAAGAGCAGTTTGGGCTAAGCCCCCAAGATAAGTTCACATTTCACTTGGAGTAGTTACAGAAAATGAGAACAAAGAGGCATGAACTGTGGTTATCCTTATTTATTCCCCCTGTGGTTATCCATATTTATTCTATCTGTATTTCCTTCTGTAAATTGTAGACTACTTTCAAGGATTAGTTTTTCTCTCTGAAAGTAGAACTTTAAAAATCTCCAATCCATTGTGGTTTTTAACTTCAGAAACAGATCTGAGTTAACTGATAGAAGGCAATTAATTGCTTGTTCAGAGTGATTAACCAACTCTGTGGATTCCAACATATAACTAGATGTAAATCTGATCTTCGTTCTCCATAGTATATGATTCAGATTAAATAGTATCTCCGGTGTTGTGTATAGTGGTTTTGGTGCTTTTCTAGGATTCTTCCCAAACATCTAGTCTGATTCATGCTGTGGTTTGCTCTGCTAAGTATTCATACATGGCACCTGGCCACCTGAGTCCCCTGTCCCCTTTGGATGTCTTGTTGCGTTAGTCTAATGTTAAAGCAGTTGGTGAAAGGTAAATTTTTTGACTTGCAGCATATATGGTAATCGCTTGCTTTTTCCCAGGGAAGAGCCATGTGTGATATCCATAGACCTTCTTTTGACACAGTACTTTTTCTCTTTTTTTTAAGAAGTCAGGCTTTGCACATACCTGCTAATACTTGCCATATTAGAATCATCTTTAAACAATTTTTTAAATTTGAAAATCTTATGTTTTAGTTCTTTTCTTCTGGAATTTTTAGCTTTTATTTTTGTTTGGTAGGTTAGACACCAAAGCAGGTATTTTAAAATTCTTGAAAAGGCAATATAGCAGAGTGATTAAGAGCATGGAGCCAAATTACCTGGATTCAGATCACAACTGTGTGACCATGGGCAGGTCTCATAATTTCTGAATGCTTCTGTTTTCTTGCCTATATATGGAGACAGTGAAAGTACTTATCTCAGGATTGTTGTAAAGATTAGATGAGTTAATATATGTAAAACATATAGAATAGTACCAGAATTAGTACCTTAAAAATTGTCATCATTTAGCTAAAGGTAGAATAAGTCTAACTCAGTAACTGACATGAACTCTCTTTAAAAATAAAGAGATTTGCAGATGTTTGTATGATAAAAATCCTGCTTGGTACAAGTACTTTCCCCAGAAGCCATGAAGTCTCTGAAGCCTGGATTTCTGCTTCTATGTTTGAGTTTTAAGGTCTTCATTAAAGTGAAATCAGTTAACATGATTGAAGATAAATGTTCAATGTGCTATTTAGGAAGTAAGGGGATAGCAGCAGGAGATGAAGAAAACTAGCAATTACAGATTTCCCACCGGGTTTATCTGGTACTGTGCTAGGCGCTTTGTATCTCCTTTAGTCCTGTCTCACGGTTTTCAACCCAGGGAGGTGGATGCTCTTCTTCCCGTTTATGAATGAGGAAGCTGAGGCCCAGAGAGATTAAGATATTTGCCCAAGATATAATGAACACACAGATACCTTTATTATAAATGAGAGTATATGTGACCTAAGAGGTAAAAGAAAGTGCTAACGGAGGTTGAAAGAAGCAAGAGGACATATCCAGTTAAGGTTTTAGAACATCATAGAGGAAGTAAACTTTTAAAATGTCCCTTGAACAGTGGATAGGATTTTGATAAGAGTATGCCAATTTAAAAGCTTTAGAACGTAACTCTTGGCTCCAGGGCATTTGAAAATACAGTAAATTGGGGCCCTCCACCAGTTGAGAATCTCTGAGGGGAGTAGTTCAAACAGTTGTGTTTTTAAAAACTTTACAAGTAATATTGATGGTGTAGTTAAGATTGAGAACTATGGCATAGTAGACAAAATTTATGGGCAGAAGAACTCAGAGTATTGTTCGTATTCCAATTTGTTCAGAAGATAAAATAAAACAGGAAGCATTGAAAGGGACTGGCTGAAAAGCCAGGTTGACTACCAAATTTCAGAGAGCTTTGACTGGCATAATAAGGAATTGTTTTTGTGTTAATAAACCATTTAAGATTTCTGTTTGTTTTGTTGTTGTTGTAAAACAAAATAACAGAATTAACTTAACAGTTACTTTATATATGTCCTTTGAAACAGATCTTCTCCACTTGAGAGAAAAGAACCTGATGTACCTGTATTCTTTCCGAATCCCCTGCAAGCAGAATGTGTAAGCATGTGCTTCCAGAGTGGACCAACAGAGGGTGCCACTAATATCTCTGGAATATCAGGGGAACCCAAAACTGAGCAAGTAATGCAACCCTTGCCTCATCAACCATCAGATAACCAGCAACTATTCCAGGATGTGTTGGTAAGAAAATGTAAAGCATTCTGTCTTTTGTGAGATGGTTATTTAGTCTAAGGTACACTAGTTAAGCCTTTCCCATCTTTAAACTGATGGGGACCTTGATAGGAAAAGATTTTCCCCAAATTCAAGTTCAAAGTTAGTACCAGAAAAAACAAGCAAGAGTTTGCAGGAGGTTTGAAAATTAGAAAGTAATAGAATATTTACGATAATGTTTACTGATTTCAGCTCAGATAAGCAGATTTTTATGAAATACTTAGCTTAGTCTAAGAAAATGAACTGAGTAAAGTGGGTAATATATAGATGAACATGACAGTCTCTGCCTTTGAAAACTTAGGGGAGATAACATATGCGTACAAGTAACAAACAACTAAAGATTGAGCAGTACTGTAAGCAAAAGCAGCACACAATAAAAAGGAGTTGATGTATGGTAGAAACTAGCACAATATTGTAAACTGGGACTTGGAGGTCAGATGACCATGGCTGTCACTTACAATCAAATTGTAGATTTTAGAACACTTGATTTCTCCATTTATAATTGAAGGCTAGTTAAAATACTTCATAGGGCCCTAAGTATTCATCAGTTAACACGGATTTTGTTATTTGCCTGCCAGGTCCTACACTGGTGCTACCAGCCATGTGCTCAAGGGAATGAAATATCCTTTAATGTCAGAAAGGCAGAATTACAGGTCATTCTCATTCAAAGTGAGAAAAGAGGAGTCAAATTCTGACAGTAACATAAAGGTTACACTTACAACTCTAAAACATTATCTTTTTTCAAATGAAAGCATGATTTTAAACTTTTGTTTATAAAGATTTCACAATAAATCCTTGAAAATACTTGAAATATTACTCAAATGATTTTAAATCTGTTGTCTTTAAAATGAACAAGTTCTGAACAAACATTCTAAGTTTTCTCTAGGATCTTCATTCATTAGGATGGACTTCTTTTATAAAAATTCCATAAAACTTGGCAAATGTACTTGATACTTTGTAGAATTTAGCAGATAATATTTTACTCTGGCATTACTTAGCAGTATTATTTGTATTTTTGTTTCCTAATAGTGATTTTCAAATACGTCCTTTTTCTTCTTTCATCAGAGTCAAGGGAACCACCGATTAAATAACTCCCCCAAAGTAACTGAGGAGCCATCTACCAAAGCAGTAATTATCAGTCATGAGTGCACCAAAAACCAGAATGTTTACCATAGTAAGAAAAAGAAACATGATTCAGGATCGGTGGACAAAGAATGTGTTCTTAATGCAACTCTTAAGCAACTTAGAAGCTTTGGAGTAAAAATTGATTCTCCAACTAAAGTGAAGAAAAATGCACATAAAGTGGATCATGCCAGGTAAGTTTAAAGTTTGTTTTAAAAGATTTAAAAAAATGTAAATGCATTGCAGCTTCCTCATGAAAAAAGGTATAAGTTTGCCATTCAATTCAACTGGCTTGTGATTTATTCAGGGTCTACATTAATAGGTATGTGGTGAATAAGAAATCATATCTACCCTATAGAGGTTCCATTTTAGTAGAAGAGTAGGTTATATACCTAAGTAATTTGAGAGACATAGGGATATCTCCTGAGTAAAGATGCCAACAAAATGCTCTAGGAGTCTTAGAGAAAGAGAAATGAACTGTTACTTACTTTTGGTGTCTTGAAAAGTTTTCCTAGAAGTGACGGGGTCTGTGTCAACTACTGGATGTACAGTTACTGCAGTTGTCATTTAAAAAGGAAAAAACTTTTTTGTAGGACTGTGTTTTAAAGACTATAGTTATATGAACCTTACTTATTTCTCACCAGTTCCAACTGGTCATGTTCTTCTGTTCAGATTTCTCTTCATCAAAGATCAGCTCAACACACACTTGCTTTTAAAGAACATAAAATCTGGGAATTCTGTAATTAAGGCTAATGCTGTGCTTAGTCACCTAGTTGTGTCTGATTCTTTGCGACCCCATGGACTGTAGCCTGCCAGGCTCCTCTGTCCATGGGGATTCTCCAAGGCAAGAATACTGGAGTGGGTTGCCATGCCCTCCTCCAGGGGATCTTCCCAACCCAAGGATCAATCCCAGGTCTCCTGGATTACAGGCAGATTCTTTACCATCTGAGCCACCAGGGAACCTGAAATAAGGCTAGTATGTTTTCTGTTAATTATTTTTGATGTTTTTTTAATACAGTGTCATGATTTTAAATCATATAACATGCATGAATATCAAATAAAATGCAAAAAAAAACCCACTTCCCAAACTCCTCAGTCTGACTCCTTCTAAGTTATTTCTCTTAACTATTTCTTTGGTATTTGTCTAGAAATGCTCTGCGCATGTTCAAGTATGTATCTGTGTGATGTGTTGCAATTTATGGGTTTTTTTGTGTAACATTAGATACTTTTTAGGTATATGCAATTCTTTCTCATGCATTTAAACAACTGCAATATTCTGTTGTGCCCATGTACTATGATACAGTGAACCCCAGTTCTCTACTAATGGATTTTTAGGCCGAATCTCTTATTCCATATCTCAAACAGTGCTCAGTGAAAATCATTCTACAGGTACTTGTACAAGTGTTTTTGTAGGGCAAATTCCTATAAGTGGTGGGATCAAAGGACGTATGCATCTGAAACTTTGGCAGATGTTGCCATTGCCCTCCAAAATAGCTGTACTGAATAGCTTATATTCCTGCCTCCAGTGGAGTGAGGCTAGCATTTTTGAAGGTCTTATTTCAATACTGTTAGGATGGAGGCTTTATTACATCTGTTAGAATGCTTAAATCAACCTGCTATCTTTGTGGAACCCTTACATTTGGTATGGCTGCCTGTGGGGAATCGTTTTTAAGTAACGTATTTGTTCATAGTGGCCACCCTATTTTAATGTCTTAAGTGTCAAACATTGAAATTAATAAATTTTCCATATACAATGAACTGGATACAGTTTTTACATGCCTAGAATGAAATGTAAAGTAAAGCCATTTGCTCTATCAGTATGGGGTGGTCAGATTGTTTTAATCAACTCTTCTGCCCTTTACTTAAATGAAAATTTATATTATAAATTTCTACTATAAAAATGATACAAACTCAGGGTTGGAATTTTAGAAAATGAAGAAAATGTCATTTGAACTAATAACACCCAAAGGAAATTAGGAAACATAGTTGAAGTTTTACTGTATATATAATTTTGTTTATTTTTCTTTATTCACCATTATAAAATAGACATTTTCATTTAGTATTGTGGGCTATTCCCATTTTTGAAATTCATTTATCTATATGATTTGAAAAATCCATAGATATACACCCATAGACAGGATTTTAGTTTCATGTAAGATGATTTTCTCAAGGAAATGAAAGCTGAGATGAAAAAAAATTGTTTTCAAAAGCAATATGTTGAATTAATTATTTCTATAGAGGGGTAAGCTGGCTAAAATGTTAGAATAACATAGCTATATCGTCATATGAAAACTTTTTTTTCAAAGCTTTATTTTATTGTATAAATTGGGTAAAATATTATAGAGCTTTGGGAATAGAGTTTGATATTTGTTTTGTTTCCATTATCAAAGTAATGTAAGTTTATTTTGGACACCTTAGAAAATTTAGAAAAGTAGACCAAAACAAACCAACCAACCATATTCAGAGAAATTCCTTGGCAGTCCAGTGGTTAGGACTCTGTGCTTTCACTACTGAGGGCCTGGGTTCCTTCCCTGATTGCAGAACTAAGGTCTCGCAAGCCTTGAGGCTGAAAAAAACAAACAAACTACAAAAAAACCATATTCATACCAACCAATGTAATTTATTATTAAAGAATTTGTTTTGTATTTCTTTTTATTTTTCTAAAATTATTTTAATAGCAGTCATTTATTGAGTGAGCATTGTGTAAGGAACTGTGCTAAAGGTTTATGCAGCATTATTTCAGTTGATCCTTGCAGTAATCTATGTGATAGATACTCTTATTATACATGTTTTATGAATGAAGAGGGTCTTCCCTGGTGGCTCAGATAGTAAAGAATCTGCCTGCAATGTGGGAGACCCAAATTTGATTCCTCAGTCGGGAGAAGGCAATGGCAACCTTCTCCAGTATTTTTGCCTGAAGAATTCCATGGACAGAGGAGCCTGGCAGGCTACAGTCCATGGGGTTACAAAGAATCAGACACGACTGACGAACTAACACACATCAGTGAAGAAATTAAGTGCCAATTTATTCAGGGCTCAACACCTGTAATTTTAAACCTCCTCTTCTAACTCCAAAGTCCATAGTTTTGTTTTTCTTTTTTTTTTTTTTACTGTTTTTGCTCTATGCTTACTGCTTGTTTAATTTTTTGGTAGGATCTTATAGTATGTACATTTTGCTGCTTTGTGTTTTGACCATACTGTATATATCCCCCCCCCCAAAAAAAATTGGTCTTATATTGGAAAATAAGCATGTTTTCAAAGTTGTTATAATGTTTTCTAAGCATCATCTTTAATGGGGATTTAATAAACCAGTAAGTGGAATGTAGTATTTGTTTACTTAACCCTTTCCCTCTTGTCAGAACTGAGTCAAAGCGTTTTCAGTGCCTTACTGTCTTAAATATTGCTATGATAAACATCTTTTTGCAAAGATTGCATTTTTTAGGTTCAGTATTATTTTTTCAGAATAGAATCTCAGAAATGGAAAGATTAAGCCAAATAGTAGGAAAATTTTAAGGCTGTCACTGTACTGCTTTCTGAAAGAGTAAGATTTACAGTCCTACCAGCTATATATGTATTAGTAGTTCAGCAATACTTTCACTCATTTTACTTCAGCAAATATATATATATATATATATATATATATATATATATAGCTTCTACTCTGAGGGAGATATGAGAAATATCATAGTATATAAGGTAACTTAGGAAAGCCGTCTTTCCCCTCATAGATCCTAAAGTTCAGTAGAGAAGATGCACAGGTAAATAGTCAATTATAACATACTCTGGTAGGAGAGGTACCTAGCATATTTTCATACTGTTTTATAATTATCCTATATTAAAATTGATGATTTTTAAAGGTTTGTGCTAATTTAGACCAAGAATTGTTAAATTATCTTTAAATTTTATTGATTATAAATGGGTTCTATATATTATTGTGATTAAAAATAAACTGCACTGAAACTATGTCTCTAACACGTAAGTCATATTTTTATTGCCGATAGTCTTGGGCTGAGAGGAGACTCCAGGTATAAGACTATCTAAGAGCTACCTGATTAATTCATGTTTCACAGTTTGTCTTGAACTTAGTTTTTTAGTGTAATCTACCACTCCTGCCACATTCCAGTTTACCCACCTGTGGCATTAGCAAAATTCCTTGCTATTACTTTGACCTGGGATGTTCTTTTTCATCTTACTGCTTGCCACAGTCTTCCTTCTCCTGTAAAGTGGAACTCAGATGTCACCTTCTTTGTCAGTGTATCCAGGACCTCTCACCTGATTATTGATGGTTTGTATCTCAGAATACTTAGTTTCTAATAGATTATACAGCCTGGTCTTGTGGTGGCCTTTCTAGTGAGATTGTGAGTTTTATCTATCTGTGATCCTCATTGCCTCTGTCACACTTGGCCTTCATGGATTCCTAAAGGAATGAAATCCCACCTACTGGGGTCAGCACTGAAGTTTACAATGAATGCTCTACTCTTGATACCTCTGTAATACTTACTGTCAGTATGTATGGCCTTGTGTTATCTCTTAACACATATTGGTATACTATAGCTGATGTGTGAAAAGTTCAAAAGGCAGTTGTTTAGTAGATTTTTCCTATGAAATAGTGTATAAATTGTAGTTTAGTATTCCAGGAAAGTAATCTTATAATCCTTGTATGCCCATTGTTTTTCTGATTCTGTAAACCAGCTAGCCTTTGTCATTGTACCTGTGTGAAAACTTACTTCATGTTCCAGTTCTGGACTCCAGGAGCATTATCCTCCAGCCACAAGAGTAGCTGAGACAGGGGAAGGAAGATTTCCTTTTGGCTTTCCAGATCCCAGAACCCTGCAGATTAAGAAGGTCCAAAAGCAGGAAAACAAAAGAGGGTCCCAGACATACCTAGAAATAGTAGGGAATTACCTCTGTGGGCATATTCCCAACTGGAGTGATGTTTTGAATTCCAAATAGATCTTAAGCAATCTCTGTAGTTACTTCTTTGCTCTACTTGGAAACCATATGTGTTCTCTACTTGAAAACCCTACACAGGGTAAGTAGGAGATAACTAATCGGGATTCAAACTGGACAATAAGTCAGGATTGATTTTCATCTTTAAGTGAGTTGGAAGAATTCCCTTAATTGTTGGCATGTGATGCTCATACTCAAACATAAATGGACTCTCATTATCCTTTTGTTACTGCACATCTAATGAGATTCTAATATAGTATATCTGTGATCAGGGCTTTTAGGATTCGATCAGTGGAGTATCTTACTTTTGCTTTTCATCTTAATTACCCTAGTGTTTCTATGCATTGGTTCCATGTATTATTGATTTGTTTTCAAAGTCAAGGTGTTTTCCCCCAGCCCCCAAATTGAAACTAGCTGGCTGTGTTATTGAAGCTTGAAGAAACTTGTAAACTGGTATCAGTTGTTTTCATGGATTTATATAGGTCTTTTAACCATTCTATAAAAGAAGATCTGTTATTACTCAGCCATGAAAAAGGAATGAAGAAACTTACCCGGCGGTCCAGTGGTTAAGAATCTGCCTTGCAATTCAGGGGGCGCAGTTTTGATCCCTGATTGTGGAACTAAGATCCCACATGCCACGTGGGGCAACTAAGCCCGTGTGCCGCAGCTACTGAGCCCTCAGGCTGCAGATAGTCTGTGCATCACAGCAGAAGATCCTGCATGACACAATGAAGGTCCCACAGGCTGCAACCAAGACCTGACAGCCAAATAAATAGTTTTTTTAAAAAAGAGTGAAATAATGGCATTTGTAGCAACATGGATGGACCACAGGATTATCATATTAAGGAAGGTCAGACAGAGGAAGCCAGATATCATTTGGTATCATTTGTATGTGGAATCTAAAAATAAAATAAGAGAAATGAACTTATTTATGTAACAGACTCACAGACATAAGAAATAAACTTATGGTTACCAAATGGGATGGGGGAAGGAGATTGGAATTTAGGAGTTTGGGATTCATGTATACACATTACTATATATAAAACAGATAACAAGGATTTATTGTACAGCACAGGGAACTGCATTGAGTATCTTGTGATAACCTATAATAGAAAAGAATCTGAAAAAGAATATAAATATATAAATAACTGAATCACTTTGCTATACACCTGAAACTAACACAATGTTATAAATTAACTATACTTCAGTTTTTAAAATGATTTTTTTAAAAAAGATTTCATTAAAATTAGATCTACTATTTCTCAGTATTTAAAACTTTTTTTTTCTTTTTTTTGGCCATGCCATGCAGCATTCGAGATCTTACTAGTTCCCCAACCACAGATCAAACCTGTGCCCCCCACAGTGAAAGTGTGGAGGCCCAAGTACTGGACCACCAGAGAAATCTCTCGATAATTAACATTTTGAATTAGAAGTTTGTTTTAAATTTATTTATTTTTGGCTGCACTGGGCCTTCATTGCTGCTCAGGCTTTTTTTTAGCTGTGGCAAGTGGGGGCTATTCTCTAGTTGTGGTATGTGGGCTTATTGCAGTGGCTTCTTTTGTTGTGGAACACAGACTCTAGGCGGACGGGCTTCAGTAGTTATGGCACATGGGCTCAATATTGCGGTTTCCAGGCTTTAGAGCACAGGCTCAGTAGTTATGGCACAAAGACTTAGTTACTCCACGGCATGTGAGATCTTCCTGGACCAGGGATTAAACCTGTGTCTCCTGCAGACTTGGCAAGCAGGTTCTTTACCACTGAGCCACCAGAGAAGCCTGAATTAGAACTTTTAATTTGCCTTTTCATGTTATTTACATTAACAAGATATTATACTTAGATATTTTTAATATGTACAAATCTGATTTAATATGCAAATAGCTTATAATTTAAAGGAAATGGGCAAAGAAAGTAGTAAAAAGATTTTATATTCAGAAAATATTAATGCTATGAATGTCTCATAAAAGAATATGTCTAGATAGATTGGTAGTACCTTTTCCATCTTATTAAGGCAGTCTCCAGACTTCTCTGGCTGTCCAGTGGTTAAGACTCCATGCTTCCAATGCAGGAAGTGCAGGTTCGACCCCTGGGTCAGAAGATCCCCTGGAGAAGGAAATGACAATCTGCTCCAATGTGCTTGCCTGGCAAATCCCATGGACAGAGGAGCCTGGTGGGGTACAGTCCTTGGGGTCACAGAGTCAGACATGACTGAGGAACTAAACAACAACAAAGGGCAGAGAGGCAGGCAGTGTCTGACTTGTATAAAACAGCTGAATTGCTTTGTTGGATGCTATGGAAAGTCATAGCATATTCACTGACTAGGATATAATAATAATTAGTATATTATATATTACATATAACAGTACACAGAGGACTCAAGGGAATAGAAAAACTCTGATAGCAAAATACAAGTTGTTGAATACAGTATAGTGAAACAGTGGTCATAGAGGCCAAGAGAGTAAGGCAGACCTGGTCTCAGCTTGCCAGTTACTAACTGTTCAACTTAGGGAAAAAGTCTCTATTCATTAGTTTTCTCAACTGTAAAATAAAGATAATAATAATACTACCTATTTTACTCATGCAGTAAATATTTATTGAATTCCTGCCTTGTGCCAGGCACCACAGATGCTGCAATGGCAGGAGAAACAGAAATCCCTTGTCCTCATGGGCTTCCATGAGGGAGCTAGACAATAAATAAAAAATGTGAGTTAAATATATAGATAGCCATAAGGGCCCAGGAGAAAGCAGAAAAGCAGGGGAAGGAAAATGTGAATTGTTGTAATAGTGAATAAGGTTGAAATACATGATAGGGACAACCTCCCAGAGAAAGGTTTTTGTGAGGATTAGATGAGGCACTAAATGTTTAGCAGAGTGCCTGGCACATAAGGCACCAATAAAAATTAGCAGCTATTATAGTATAAATGATATGCAGGAAAAGGCAAGTCAGTTAATTACTATTAAAAAAATAACACCAACCAAACAGAGTGAGGATGATATCTAACGAAAGAATATTACTGTATACACACATACACACACATGCACGCATGCGTGCATACACCTTCATATCCAGAGACTGGTTAATATTTTTCATTCATTACAAATGGAATCTCTTCTATGAACAATATAACATTCTGAGCTACTCATCAAATCTTGTAATGTTACATTGTCAATTGTGTTTTCTGTTTGATTTTATTTTTGTTTGACTTTACAATATTAAAAAGCTTTACATTGTAAGGTCTTATAGATTGTCTTAAAACTGTAACTGATGTTAATTTAGGAAAGTTAATTTGTGTTCCACTTTTACTCTTTGAATCATAGATTATCTTCTAGATTACTGTATTTATCCCTTAAATGTATCTGTATCATCAAGACTTAGATGTCTGAGCACTCAGGTAAAAAAGCACCATCCAGCTTAAAGCTGAAGACCTTTTGTTACTTTCATAAAGTGAAACATATTTACAATAACACTGTTTAGTACTCAGAATAAGATAAATGATGGCCTGCCTTGTTCTGTCTTTCAGTGTGTTGGCATGCATCAGCCCTGAAGCAGTGATCTCTGGATTAAACTACATGTCATTTGCTAATGTTGGCATGAGTGGCTTAAGCCCCAGTGGTGTGGATTTGAGCATGGAAGCAAATGCTATAGCTTTGAAATATTTAAATGAAAATCAGCTGTCACAACTGTCTCTCACACGATCAAGCCAAAATAATGGTGATTCACCTTTTAGCCTTCTACATATTAATACAGACAGAAGCACAGTGGGGCTTAGTTTAATTTCGCCAAACAACATGTCATTTGCAACCAAAAAATACATGAAGAGATACGGACTCATACAAAGCAGCGACAATAGTGAAGATGAAGAGGAGCCTCCAGACAATACGGATGGCAAGAGTGAACATTTAGTGAATCAAAACCTTACATACATAGCTGAACAACTTGATTGTCAGAAAGAGCCTTCCAGGAATGCTGGTGAGATAACTAATTGTTATAACTGTGACTCCGTGGGTACCCACACAGATATGCCAGTATTGAGAAACATTACAAATGAAGTTGTTCATCCAAAAGCAACACAGGAGTTGAATGAAAACCCTGCTTTCTTATTAAAGAACCTTAAACCAAGCCCTGCAGTACATCTCCGAACTGGAAAAGCAGAATTTACCCAGCATCCTGAGAAAGAAAACGTAAGGGACACTCCAATTTTTACTGAAAGTTTGAAACCTTCTGAAACCTTAAAGCAAATGAATAGTATGAATTCAGTAGGCACCTTCTTAGATGTAAAGCGTCTCAGGCAGTTGCCAAAATTATTTTAAACTTTTAACTCCCCATCCTCCTGATAAGAGGATGGGATGTCTCCTGAAGATACTTACGGAAGTCAGAGCCTGTAGACAGTTTTGGAATTCCTAATCACTCTAGGGATCACTCTGTTGATAGTAGCTTATGGCAAAGAGCTGAACAAGTGGCCTGACTGTGAGATGGCTAACTGGTAGGAGGCCTAAGTGCTCTTTGTTCAGATAGAGTTGTTAAGCATCACTGGATCTTTAAAAAAAAAAAAATCCTGAGATCAGTTATTTCAATAAATTTAGATAAGCAGATGCTATCCAGCTATGAATCTGAGTTGCCCTTTTATACTGTACATTTTGAAAAGTGTTTTCCTAGCATTTTGCATCTACCCAAATACCACCTAAAAGAACATAAAGTTATCATGACCCTGACTAAATTAGCTAAACAACCCTTATTGAATTTAAGGGGGGGGGGGAGTTTTATTTTTGTAAAATAACTTGCAATCTTTTATACAAGGCGTGTATATATATATATTCTCTTAAGATGCACATTTGTTAAATACTGTGGAAGTAAACTTTTGCACTCTTGTGTGCTGATGTTAATCTAACATTTCAACATATAGCACTAGCTATCACAGAATAAGAAAATTATGAGTATGAGTGTGTTTTATAAACTTTGTGAGTTTTTCAAATGTTTTACTATTTTTTTAATGGAATTTAATAAAAATGTCTAGATTGACTGCTTTCCTTTGTCCTCTGTTAATAGCATATCCTTGTCCACTTAAAAAAACAACTTTGTAGACTCCCCCAAAATTCCAAAAATGAAACAGAATTCAGGTGTACCCTTCATTTAGCAACACCCAATAATGCTATCTTACACAATCATACTAAATGATCAAGAAATTGACATTTGGTACAATATTAGTAACTAAACCACAGACCTTTCAGGTTTCACAAGTTGTTGCACTCATTTACTTTTTGGTGTATAACTGTGAAATTTTATCATTTAGAGATTTACATAACTACTGCCACAATCAACATACAGAACCATCCCATCATCACAAAGAAATTCCTTAGTTCTACTCTTAAAATACAGCCTGCCTCCAACTCTAACTCCTGACAACCAAGGATCTGTTCTCCATCACTGGAGTTGTGTCATTTTGAGAATGCTAATAAAAATGGAATCAGAGTATGTACTTTCTTGAAGGTGGTTTTCACTCAGCATAATGTCCTTGAGATCCATCCAACTTTTTCAGTACATCAGTAGTTGCTTCCTTCCCCCACCTTCTTACAAAATAAATTTTAAATTGTTATTTCTAAATATAAATGAAAATGTCCTCATTCACTTGAGTGAGAAAATTCTTCTGCTAAAGTTAAATTAAGACATCATAGCCTTATATAAAAATTTGAGATGTTAACTGCAAAGAAACAGACTTTCGGTCTCTAAATACCCAGTTTGGGCCCTCTGAGATGATCTGATAAACCAGTTTAGCTAGCCAGCCAGTGTATGGTAGCATGACAGCTCTCTGCTGTTTTCCACAGGAGCCAGGGACCAGTCAGTGCACATTTTCCTGCTGCCTTGCTCTGAGGTTAAAATTCAGATGTAGAAATGTCACTGGTGGTGATTCTCAGTGTTTTTTCCGCATGGTCATCGTTTGGGACTTTGGTTATTTTAATAAATATTTTCAAAATCCACTTACAGGTTTCACTAGAGTAAAATTTTAAGTAATGGAATTGTGAACGCCACTTCAAGTGCATTCTATTTCACTTTAGCCCTCAGTGTTTCACCCAAGAAGTAAGTACATTTATATTGCATATTATTTTTTTAAATCTGAGAGAATGCTGATTCACTGGCAGCCTCACTAACTCTACCATTATCACTGGGAATCCTGTAATTGTCACATGGAACAAGAAACTATCTGAACAATGAAAACTGAAGCTGAGACTTTATTTTAAAAACAATTTCTTTTTGGCTGAACTAGGTTTCATTGCTTTGTGTGGGCTTTCTCTAGTTGCAGTGAGAGGGATCTACTCTTCATTGCGGTGCACGAGCTTCTCATTGTGGTGGTGTCTCTTGTTTTGCGGCACAGGCTGTTGGCTTACAGGCTTCAGTAGCTTTAGCACATGGGCTCAGTAGTTGCAGCTTATGGGCTCTGGAGCTTAGGCTCAGTAGTTGAGGCACATGGGTTTAGTTGCTCCACGGTATGTGGAATCCTTCTGGACCAGGGATCGAATCTGTGTCCCCTGCATTGGCAAGTGGATTCCTAACCATCACACCAGCAGGGAAGTCCTGAAGCTGAAACTTTTTAGGCAAAATCTAGTTCCATCACTTCTGTTACCACATTGAATTTAAGATTTCTGATAAGACACTTCAGCAGTTTTGGAGATTGAATTTAGACTGCAGATTAATTCAAAAACACATGTCACCTACTAACTAAATGGGCTTCCCTGGTGGCTCAGTGGTAAAGAATCTGCTTACCAATGCAGGAGATGCGAGTTCTATCCCTGGGTTGGGAAGATCCCCTGGAGAAGGAAATGGCAACCCACTCCAGTATTCTTGACTGGGAAATCCCATGGACAGAGGAGTCTGGTGGGCTACAGTCCATGGTGCTGCAAAAAGAGTTGGACATGACTTAGTGACAACAATAAAAACTAAAAACATATCCAGAGAAGAGGGACCATTACTGAAGCCTCTCTAGAAGTTCTCTAAGAAGAGATTTCACTTTGGAAGTTATCTGGCAAATTAGTATCTACAATAGCTTTTCGGCATCTTTGGAAAAAGTATCAGTACTGGAAAAATTGGATTAAGGACGAGATGATTGCCTCTCAAGTGACATTTGTATGAATTTCTTTGATTCAGTCCCACACAACACTGTGTATAGATAAACAGGTGTTAACGTCGAATGGAATAAGGAAACAATGGTGCTTCTATTACCTGGGAAAGGAACTTGTTAGTCTAGGTCCTAGCCAGTTGGCACCTCCACCCGCTTCATCCAATGTCCCTTCACTCAACCTCTGAGCCCCCTCTATGCTCTACACTCTCTTATCCTCTGCCTTGCCCTGCCTGTGCTAAATAAGCTCCACAAAAGCGGATGTAGACAGGTGAGATATAAGCCTTGCCTTTGCCATCTGTAAAGGCTCCAGGGAAAACAGATACACACTGGAAACAGTGGCACGACAGTATGAGACAGCGTGTGATGAAATGCCATAACCAGTGACCCAGACAGGAGACAGCAGAGCAGTCGCGATAACTTCCATCTTTTAAGACTTAACCACGTGTCACAGGGTGCTGCGCAGAGCACGTCACACACCTTAGTTCATTTAAGCCTTCTGGCTGACCGCAGCTGGTAATCCTCATAGTTGAGGGACTGACCTTAGGGAAGTAACTTACACAAGTAAACTGTAATCATATTCAAACTCAAACTCCTATTAAGCCACTGAGAAATGCAACTTATTTGGGGCCCGAGGACTTCAGGAAGCACTTCCTACGAGACACAGATCTTGAACTGAATGAATGATTTTGAATACTATAGCCAGTGCTATTTCAGATATGTGCTGACCTCCAAGCTACTGGCCTTATTTCCCCTCCAAAAGTCCCCCTGCCCTTTAGCCAAGACCAGAAACCACTGCTTTTATAGACAAGAGTCCTGAAGTAGGCAACCCCTGCACTGTTAATGTTATAAGGAGTTTGATGATTTTACATCGTGGTACTACTATCAGGGCCCCAGGAAGTTAGAGGAGCAAGACTTTTCTGTGCCCTTGTTTTCTAGACATTACTTTTGCAGGCAGAATCTGGTTTAACCGAGAGACCTTTATGCTTGCAAAATAAATTTAATGGTAGTGTCTTAGGTTTGCAGACTGCTTCACACTCTTCAAAGTGCTTTCCCACACATTTCCTCATAATCCTCACAACCAAAACCCAATGGGAGTATGTGTGGCAGACTTCACTCACCTCTGTACACATGATGAGACAAAACACAAATGAGGTATAGACAGGCCAAGATCACACCTTGAGAGTTAACAACCTGGTCCTTCCATAGCATCCAGTCCAGCAGCAACCCTTCCATCGGTTCTTCCTCTCCCCACCTGCACCTCTTTTACCCCTCTTCATTCAGCAGGTGTCTCATGTTGATTCTGCTGGGCTCTGAGCTGGATGCCAAGTATAATGTGATGAACAAGACAGCTTGTCCAGTAGCATCTTGATCTAATGGGGGAGACACATGCAACCATTAGCCATACAGTGATGTAGAGCTTATAATAAAACTATATAATGTGTGAGGATATATTAAGAGAGGCTGGGGGGATGGTTATCTTGAGAATGCTCCAGGTTTTTCCAAAATCTTGCAGGAGCAATATGGAAGAGAATGGGAAGACGTGCTATTTCTGAAAGAGGGAACAGCTTGTTGGGAATCATGGAGATCTGAATAGGTATGGCATTGGAAGAGGGGGCTGAGGCAAGAAACCACAAAGATAGGAAAGGAAAAAAATATATACATGTAGAAAGAACACTGAGTTAGAAGTCAGCAACAATTGGGTTCCTCTTGTCCCTCTGCTCCAAATTCCATGACATGGGGCAAGTCACCTCACATCTCTAGGCTTTAGTTTCCGAGAATTATTTAGGTGAAGGGGTTAGCTGTGTATCTCTAACATGCTGTGATTATAAGAAGCGTTGAGGCAGAAATAGAAGTCCAGAGGAGGGAAAGGCTTCTGCAAGAAAGAGTGTTAGAACTGGGCCTTGAAGTATTTCAAAGGATTTCTACAGTCATCGATGAGGAAAAGATTTCCTTACTATTAATAATACCTACTATTTAACAATTTAAAAAGAAAAAGAATTCTGTTTTCGCCAACAAAATGTCGAGTAATAGTATCTGTTTGAAGAGATACCAGTGTGTCTTCCTCCAGTTCTGAATTAACACATTCCCTGCCTTTAAGGAGCTCAAATTCCAGTGTGAAAACATCAAACCCAGGGAAAGGGGTTTAAGGGTTTGGAGGCCTGGGAGATGTTCCCTGTCTCCTCTCTGCTACCCAAA